AATATTAATAGAATTACTTTTATCTGATCGGTATTTAATTATAAAATTAAAAAAAGCCAAAATTATATATTAATATATTTAATATTTATTAAGCCGGGGTTGATTTATAAATAATCTAAGATTTATATAATTAAATAGAATTTTAATAGAATACTAAGCCCTATTAAAATTTTAATACTAATATTTAAAAAAATAAATAATAGTAAAAAGTTTTTAATCCGGAATTCTCTAATTAAATTCTGTATCCGAAAACTTTCTTAATCAAATAGTAATTATATAATATTATTTTATTAGTTTAAATTAGATTAAAATATCTACTATTTCTTTACTATAGACGTCGGTTTTAATCCGGATAGATTAAATTAGATTAAAATAATAATAAAAAAGCAGTTTAAAATATATTAATAAACCGGCGAAACGCCAGTCTTTTATTTAGAAATAAATAATATATTTTAGGCTTTTTACTATTTTAACTTTCTTTCAGAAGATTTATTAAAGATAGTATTAATAAAAAAAAGTTGTAAATAAATCTGCAGTAAAAGTTATAAAATATTAAAATAATTTAAATTTTATAATAAATAATAGATAACAGCTATAAAATAATAGTTTTTATTCAGTTAGAATCTATTATAATATCTGTAAATAAAATAATATATCTGAAAAATTCAACTTATTACTAAAAAAATAAGTATTTAAATAATTTAGTAAATAGATTAGTTTATTATAGTTATATTAGTATTTATTTAATATATTCAGTATATTTATATTTTATTATTAAAAAAATAAGAATATTATTTAAATACACAATGCAAACGATATCGAGAATATTATATAATATAAAATATATATAATTTTAAAAAGAAGCAGATATATTAGTCAAGCTAAACAGTATTATTATATATTTAAAGTAACTATAATATATATAAAATACAGTTTTCTATTTATCTTCTTTTTTAATATAAATTTAATAATAAATATTTTAAATATTAATTTTACTAAAGTATTTGCATCTGGTAAAACAATTTAAAATTTTAGAAATTAAAAATAATAAATATTAATTTTTTACTGTAATTTTATTAAATCTATAGTAATCTATATATAGCCGCAGACTTTTATTTTTTTTAGATATAAAGAGAATAAGAGCCTCTGCAGGGCTTTTAAATAAATATATTCTTCTATTTATAATATTTTTATTAATATAATTTTTAAATACTGAAAGTTTTTTTTTTAAAAAAAATAAATAGATCTAAACAGAAGTAATTCGCCTTCGAGAAGGTTGATAGTATAATTTTTATTATAATATTCTGAAAATATTTTAAATTAATTAGATAAAAAAATATCAGCAAATTCGATTAATTCTAATAGAATAGAATTATTTTAATAATATTCTAATAGTTTATTATCTCCGAAAAGCTATAATTCCTCTGGCGTTTTAATAATAATATAAATATAAATATAATTTCGGCAAGCTTTAATAAATTTCTAAGAATTTAATTCTTAAATTTTATTAAATTTAAACTACTATTATTTATTTTATAAAAATAAGTAAATCTTATAATCAAATAAAATAGTTATAGAAAGTAATATAGAGGTATTTTAAAAAATAGTAATATAAAATCTAATAAAATAATATTATATTTTTTTAAATTAATAATATCTAATAGAATATTTTATATACTATAATTAGTAACGGCAGTATGGTTAATCATTTCCAGCCGGAGCAGATATTTTAATAATTTTAAAAAAAATATTACTATATAAATTAAATACTAATTAAATTATATACTATATAATTATTAATATCGGTATAGACTTCTTTAATATAGAATATCTATATTAGTATTAATATCTTATCGGCGGTTTCTATTTTATAATATAGAATTAAAGCAGAAGAATTAGTCTTATTTTATTTTATTTTTTTATATTATTTTTTTTAGTTTATAGTTTTTAAATTTAAGCTGATTTCTTTCTTTTTTAAAAGCATCGGTTGGCAAGATACTCAGTATTATTATATAAAAAATATTATAAAACTTTTCTAACTAAATTAAAATAATTAATTTTAAAATTAAAAGATTAAAAGTTTTTATAAAATTATAATTATTTCTATAATATATTAGACCTGTCGGGTTTCTATTTATATTTTTATTATTATATATATAAATTCTAATAATAAATAATAAGAGATATTATCTCGTTTCGCTCTTCTAACAGCTGGTATATATATTTTTTAATATAATAGCTGAAATCGGAAAGCAGCTTTATAAAATAGATATAACTATATTTTTTATTAATAGTTTTAAAAAAGTATTATTCTAAAATATTAAAATAGATATAAAATTTATAAAAATCTTAATTATTTTGTTACCGAGCTCCTTCTAATTAGCTTATTATATTAGATTTAAAAGTAGCAGTATTTTAAATAAGAAAAAATATTTATTTAAAAAAAATAGACTATAAATAACTAATATTTTTCTTTTAATCCGAGGGTAGTTTTTTAAAATAATAATACTATCTCTGCCGACAGATTGTATTTATATAGTTTACAGTTTTAAAAATTTTATAATAATTATTATAAAATTTAAATAGTATTTTCTAAAAATTATAATCTAAATTATAAAACCACTCCTAGTGTTTTTATATATTAAAAAAAATTCGAATTGCGGGATATCTTTAATCTTAATATTTATTTTAGAATTATTTAAAAAAGAAAAAGTTTTCTATTACTAATTTAATATTAATTTGATATTATTATATTAAATTTTCTATTATAATTCAGTAACTTATTTTTACAACTACTGATAATTTTATAATTAACTAATAGTATCTCTAACTGCAGTAAGATCCTCTACTGAAAGATCTAATAATAAAAATAATAAATTATCAGCAGTAGAAAAAATTTCCGATTTCGAACTATTATTTAAATATAATAATTATAATAATATACTATATTTTATAAATAACTAAAAAGAAAGGATTAGAATTATAAAAAAAATTAGTTAGGTATAGAATAGTAGCAGTCTATTAATTTTAAAATTAATTCTTACTATCTTAAAAATTTAGTAAGATTCTAAAAGTTAAATACTGAAGAAGGTCTGAGTTATTAACGTTATAACCGTTGCGCGGAGGATGTATAGATAGATTGTTAACAATCTACTATAGTTATGAGGGTTATCTATAATAAATATATAAAAATAATAATATCATCTTTCTTTTTAAATATTAAACTCTAATTAGAATTATTTTAATTTATTTATATATATACAGCTATTACAGCAGCAACTACTATTATTTTAATTAATTTTTATATTCTAATATTAGATTTTAAATAATAGATAATATATAGCTGCTAAGTATTTTAATATTTAATAATAATAATATTAAATATATCTAATTAGCAACTGAAAATATTCTACTGTAAAAGTCTGTATATTTTATTTACAGTTTGTTAGTCTATATTAAAATTATTATAAATAAGCTATTAGATATCTAAAATAATAAGTAGATTAAATATCTTACTATTTTAATTATTTATATAAGATTTTATTTTAATCTATTTACTACTGAATATAAACTATTAATAAACTATAATATTTTATATAAAAAATTTAAATATAAAGTTACTATCTTCTTATTTTATTTTTTATTTTTAACTAATATTTTTAAAAGTATATTCAAGACTTAGATAGACTGTATATTTTTATTTTAATTTATAATATATCTTTTTTAATTGGACCAGTTACGGCAAATTCTACAATTTAGTTTAGTAAATATATAAAATAATATATATTTAGATTATCTTTAGATTATTTAATAGTTATATTAGTTATATCTGTAATTTATTTAATTTTATATTTTTACTAATAAATATAATATATATTAATTTTTAATAAATATACAGCTATTTTTCTTAAATCTTCTTTTTTTCGGAACAGCAGCTACTTTTTATATTTTCTATAGTATATCAGAATAAATATACTGTAAATATTCCAGTTTAATATAATTTATTATATTTCTTTTTCTATTTTTAAATAAAATTATTATTAGAATATATATTTTCTTACTTTTAAAAAATCTGTAAAAGCCTTTTATATACGCTTCTACTAATTATTTATTTAGATATTCGAAAATATTTAATACTAGAAATTTTATTTAGTATATATTAGGTTTAGCACTGCTATACTGCGGTATTTAATATTATTTTTAATAAAACAGATTTTTATTTTTTTAGTATAACTACTATAGAAGTTAGATTATAATAGTACTTATTTCTTTTTTATTATTTATATTTTTTTAATTGGATTTTTTAAGTCTATTTATCAATATTAGCTATATATTTATAGTAGATATAGATAGTAGTTTTAGATATCTATTAAATTAAAGTATACAGCTTTTATAATATAAATAGAATATTAACTTTATATAAACTAAATCCAAATTTTTTTATTTTATTATTTTTATATATTATTTCTAATCTATTGTTATAAGTTACAGAATAATCTTAACTTTATTCTGTAATAGTACTAAAATTAATAGAATTTAGAGTTTATATTATAAACTAACTATTTCAAACTCTGCTACATATAGCGTATTTAGTAGCGTTGTAAAGAGTTTTATAATAGATTACTATTAATAATAATTAATAATAATAAATAACTATAATATTCTAGTATCAGTATTATCTTATAATATCTGTTGAACTTAGTACAATCTTCTCGTAATCTAAGAAAATCTTAATAAAATTAGTATACTATGTAATAAATCTTTATAAACTATCTAACGTAACTTTTACTAACTTTTATTAACTAATAAGAACAGGTGTCTTCTGGCATTGAAACTCTCTAAATAAACCCCCCTAGGCTACTATGTAATAATATCTCATTTCCTTACTCTAGTGATGACACCTGCGAGAGAGGTGGAAGATGCTTTGATTCTCACTACGTGAGGCTAGCTGCGGAACTAGCGCAGAAGAACCTAAGCGAGGCCGCAGGACCGCCGTCACCTATACTTCAACATGCAATATACATTCCGGAGCGAAGCCGGTGTTCCATCTTGGCATCTTCAAACCTTGGTATATTGCTATTGAAAGACCACCAGTGGTCGTACGACACTGACGTTCTCCTGCAGGCAAGTTCACTCAAAGCCATGCAGAAGAGACCCAAGAGGCAAGCACTGGTAAGTCACCGAATAGCGCAATGCATAGGATGCCTGACTGATAAGGGGACTAGAATGGCACGAGGTCGACTTGTTGGCCCGTCTCCCGACATCGTCACACAGGTGTCAACCCGCATTTTCCTGGGAACCGAGCTCTGCAAGAACAAAGAATGACTGGATAATACCCAAGCATACACGGATAATGTCTTCAAAGCCGTGCGATCGATTCGCCGATTTCCTGCATGGTCTCGTCCCTATGCCCAATGGTTCTTGTCGGACTGCGCCAAAATCCGCCGACAGGTCAAGCGCGCCAAGGACATCATCGAACCCCTCATCGCCAAGCGAATCGAAGAGATTCTAGTCCAGAAGGGTCTCGCCGAGATGCCAAACGATGCTATCATATGGATGCACGAAGTCGCCACGGGCAAGGGCAAGGAATGCCACGGAGCGCACATTCAACTGTCCCTTAGCATGGCATCGGTGCAAACAACATCGGATCTCTTTTCAAATATCCTCCTCTAGCTCTGTCGGCTTACGGAGTGGATTGAACCGTTGCTCCAGGAAGCACAATCAGTCCGTACTGACGGTGCGTGCGAGAAGACGTCGCTCTATCGTATGAAGCTCGCCGACAGCGTCATGAAGGAGACACGGCGCCTTAAGCCCCTGGGTGTCCGTAAGTCTTTCCTCTCCCCCTTTCGAAGCAGCCTAGTAGCCGGGAGTTAACAGAAGTTAGTCCCATCGCACCGCCATGTCAGTGACGATGTGGTGCTGCCCGATGGCACACTCATTCCCAAAGGCGCGATCGTCGCCACCAACATGTCGCGCATGTAGGACTCGGAATCCTACCCAAACCCCGAAAAAGTGGCAGCCCGACCGATACCTGAAGCTGCGTGAGGAGCCCAGGAAGGAGCACTCGTCGCAGTTCGTCACGACCACGATGGAAAGTCTCGGGTTCGGCATCGGGAGTCACGCCTGCCCCGGAAGATTTTTCGCCTCAAGCAAATTAAGCTTCTGCTCAACCACATGCTCCAGAACTATGAATTTGAACGAGCGGATACAGAGAAGGACGCGACCCCGTGGTTCTAGAATATGTCACGAAATCGAAGGCGAAGCTGCGGGTGCGAGAGAAATAAGGTTGCTGCATAATGTGGGAGGTTATATTCAATGGAGATGCCCTCGCGCGGCGTAATGAGCAACTCACCAAGTTCAACAGAAGACAGAATCACAATGACATGCATCCTGTTCAGCAAAGCATTTAGCAACAACCCATAAATCTGGACCGTGGTTTCTTACTGAGGTATTTACTTACACCTTACGCTACCTTTTCTATGAGCTCGAATTTCGGATGTTCAGTCGGGAAGATCACTTTTTGACATGATGATTCCTCAAGTTCAACAGAATGAGAGGCTTTGTGTGGTTCGATCTTTAAACGTTTTGTTGATCCCGGGCCAGCAAACGGCGAGACTAGGTGAGGTGCGAAAAGTGACCTTTGTTTAGCAGCGTGTTGCCCTGTCCATGACATTGGTCCCGCGGATGATCTGTAAGGACAGCTAATGCCAACAAGCCTGCACACCCCACAAGTGCTCGCTCCCTGTCTCCCTGAGGAACGACTTTATTGACATAGTTGTATATAGAATAAGAGACCTCTTACTGTGCCCTGTAGCTCTCGACTCGTGTTGCTTCTCATTTCATCTGCAAGACGCTGGGCCAGGTGGATCGCTTTTTCCCTTGGCAAGCATAGCATGATGATATTTTCTAGCGTGGAGAACTTACGCTGCCAAGTCCGCCGTCCACTAGTGCTGACGGGTAGTAGTCGCCTGGTTCCATCGCTTATGCGATTTGCTTATTACCCAGCTTTCTCATATCACTGCTATCAATTTGGACAACCTCCTCCACTCATGAGTTCATAAGCGAGACTCGAACTGCTGACAAGCGTAATATAAGACGTAGGTGTGATGATTGAGTCGCCACATACTTGAATCTCTGATTGATCTTATCAGTACAATGTACAATAGCACAGTTAGATAACTTTCTAGCCGTGGCATACCTCGAATCAACCTATCGATCTGAATATTCAACTCACCATTATTTAAGGGTCAGGAAAGACCATAAGACCATCGAGAGCATGGAAATAAAAGATGAAAAGAATAAAATAGAACATGTGCTTGATTTCTTGTCAGAGCAATGCACTGTGAAGCACTTTTCAAGCTGCCCCAGAATAAAAAAAAGTCACGCGCCTGAAGAAGTCAATAGGCGGCGAGATCCGATAGATGAGACCCTTTTTCACCCTCGTCTTCATCCCCTTGGAAATCCACGAATGAGGCATGGAAGCGAGAGAGACGGGCAATCCGGCGGGGACAATAGCCGGTACTAAATCTCCCGCTAGACCCTAAACAGCAACTGACCTGGACCCCGAAATGACAGTCCCGCCGCTGTTCTTCGTATCCGGGGCTCTAGTCTCATTATCATCTCCATTCTATGCTTCAAGCTCGTATGCCGAGTCGTCTAATGATGCCCCATATCGTGAGCGATTGGATATGTTTTAGTCACAATCAATCATACGAGACTCAATTCTTCTCGTCTGTCGCCGTCTGACAACTTCACCGGACAGAAAAATCTATAAAGTGCACTGGGGTTGCTCGTCTCTGCTGATCCTTCACATCGCATTCTCTATCTCTTCTCAGTCAAGATCATACCTACCTCTATCACCATGCAGCTCCTTTCCCTCGCCACCATGGCCGTCCTCGCTGGCGTCGCCGCTGCCAAGAGGAACGTTTACATGTGCCCTGGACCGTACGTTGACTGCACCCCATCCATGTCAACGATGACACTAACTTCCGTCATTCACAGAAACTGGACGGGCCCCTGCACTCTGTTCGGCTTCGACAATGGCGAGTGCATGGATATCAGCTTCTGGGATACCCTGGGCTCTATCGGACCGGATGAGGGTGAGTGACGAGCGAGCCTTCACTAACGAGGGTGTAAAGCTAATGTTGTTCAGGGTTGGTCTGCTCCATGTTCGTTGAGCCGGGCAACTGCTACATGACGACAGGCAACTTCAACTCGGGCGGCTTCGTGAGCCCCGGCATTGCCGACTTGACGACCTGGCAGATGGGCAGCGGCGAGAAGTGGCCGGGATACTGGTTCAGCAACGCCAAGACCGTTCAGTGCTTGTACCAGTAGTCAGCTGGAGTCATCGTTTCATTGTCTTTTACTTAGCGTGCACAAAATCGAAATGCATTACCATTACCGTTTTGGGAAAATGGATCTCTGCTCGGATGGGGCGGTGAGCCCTCCGGCTTGGCGGGGTGTTCATCTATCTTATCTCCGCATTCAGAATTTACGCAGTCATCGAGCCTGTTCTATTTCATAACTCATGAACGGCATTATCTCATTCTAGTCTGATTCTAGTCGATTGTCTGGCACTTGCACTCTTGCGATGAGAACATTGATCTAGTTTAGTGCGTGGTCTTGACGCCGGAAAGAGTCCTTTGGGGTTGCGAACTAGATACAAATCATATATTTCTTGGCTCACAGGCCGAAGACTTGAACGGCGAAGGCTCTATGATTACAAAACGAGGCTAGAACCTCAAAGATAACACCCTATGACATTCTCCATTTAGAATAATCAATATCTACAAGTTCAGAAGATAGTTTAGTAGGAGGAGGGCAAACAGAGCTACTAGGAAGGACCGTTAATACCTATGCATCTGGGTCTGGTTGATGTTCCACAGCTTCCTGCGCTCGCCCCAACCACCATTGACATCACTCTCCATGCTTAGCAGCCTTGACGTCACGTGTAGCAGTACTTACTCACTCTCAATGTAAACCGAGCAGTATGATAATTTTATCTAGAGACATCAACCATGTTGAGGCTGTTACCAGGGAGAGTCGAGAGTTGCATTTACTGTTGTACGACTTGTTCACTACATCCGAGGCGGGGGTGGGTCCGGCCAGTTGGCGAAACTTGCCCCCCGAATTTCTGGACCCAGAAAGCTCGACTGGCAGGCTTTCCACGCATCATTGCATGAAAGAAGCTGATGATAGACGCCATGGCCTTTTTGTGTTAGGTAAGTCTAAGCCCACCCTGGCGTCTCAAAAAGTAGATCATGTAAGATGGGTCGCAAGCCGTGTGACCGAGGCATTCAGCTGCAGATCTAGATCAGCCCACTCCGATGCAAGGTGACATAAAGCAACCCGCAAATCCACCATTCCACGAACTATAATCACCATACCTGGTTTCATGCTGCAGAACTGCAACTGCGGGGTTTGTGGGCTGAAAGACCAAAAACGCAATGATGGACTGAAACCGGTCGCAGCTCCGACAAAGATCCACTGAGTGGCAGGGGTCTATAGATTAACCTGCCCCCCAACCAGAGACTACGCACAGAGGATTGAATATCCACGACCCAATAGACAACACACTAGGGTCGGACCGGCCGGGCCTCTTGAGTTCTCAGCTGTCGATCGGTCTTACAATGGCTGCAGCATTTCCTAGCTCTCAGGGTATGTGCGCGTCATGGTGACAACAGAGGCAACTGCAGCTGTAGAACCTCCCTCGCGGTCGCATACTACTTAAGCCCTGGGGACTTTCTGAGCTGAGGTCGAATATCATCTTCAGTGATCACCTTGCACAAAGCACCCCCAAGACTACTTTCTCTAACAAAATGGATTTCTTGGAGTCTACAGCCACCCTTCCCAAAGTGACCCTGCCCGATTTGGGGCAGTCGACCTCCGAGACCGTCAAAGACTTCCGAACCCTAATCCAGAATGATCCAACCCTGCTCAAGAATACCACTGCCATGTTCATCCAGGCTGGCTCCGATCCCCTGAACGTGACGCAGAATCTGGCCGGGTTCCTGGTGAACCTGGACAAGATCACGCGGACTGCTCCTGCCTACGACGCCTCTGCCGAAAAGAACTCCCCCGGAGGCAGCATGGGAATCCTGACCAACCTGCTGGAACCCTACCTCAAGACCGCCGCGGGGCAGGAATTCTTTCGGGACGCGCGAGTGGACAAGGTTCTCCAGTCTGTGCTCAAAGAGTGGACGGCCTACCTGAAATCCCCGGAGTCCGCCAGCGTCCTCACCAACGAAGACGGCGGGTGGTTCAGCCGGGCGGCCCTCTCCGACGAGGAACGCAAGACCTTCTTCCAGGACTACAAGTGCGAGCAGGAAGCCCCGCACTACGGCTTCGAGTCCTGGGACCAGTTCTTCACGCGCGAGTTCCGGGAGGGCGCGCGGCCGGTCGCGGCGCCCGACGACGACAATATCATCACGGCCGCCTGCGAGTCGGTGAAGGTCGTCTTCCAGCCGGACGTGCAGCTCTCCGACACCTTCAACATCAAGGATCACAAGTACTCGCTCGGCACGATGTTCAACGACCAGGACCTCGCGGGGAAGTTCGGCGGCGGCCGGCTCTACCAGGGCTCCCTGAACCCGACTAACTACCACCGCTGGCACGCGCCCGTCTCCGGCACCATCAGTACCATGCAGGTCATCGCGGGCACGTTCTTCCACTCTGGGATGAACGTCGCCTTCGACGCCAGCCCCTTCACGGGAGCGATCGAGTATGAGGTCGGGGCGGCTCTGCACGAGGCCACCCGGTGTGTCATCGTGATCGACAACGCCAAGCTGGGCCCCGTCGCGTGCGTCTTCGCCGGCATGCGCGAGCGCGGCTCCTGCGAGCCGACGGTGCAGGTTGGCGACGATGTGAGCAAGGGGGACCAGCTGGGCATGTTCCATTTCGGCGGCAGCACGCATTGTCTGATCTTCAATAGGAACATCAACGTTTCGGTTCCATCAGAGGGGGTGGTTCCGTCCGGTCTGCCTGTTGCGGTGAACTCGCAGCTGTTTACTGTATCGTAGGATGCCTGCGCGAGCTTCGTGTGCCACAGAGTCGTGTATGCCAGAGGAATTGTCAGTAAGAAAATGCATTACCATAAGGGCTCTTTGCCTTCTATCTGTTTGGGGGTCTTGTCGTGGGCCAGGAAAGTGTTGTCTCGGTTCACTACGTTTCTGTCGCGAGAGTCTTGGCTGTATCAAATTATGTATGGAACGATGACTTCAATCGATGGCAAATTGGGCTGTCGCAAGTCTTTAGGTGGTATTTTCAAAACTAAGCTGAGATTATTGACAACTCTCTGTGGCTCCAATTACTCATTGAACGGGGATTGAGTCCTTGGAACGTTGCCGCCAACCCAGTAGACTCCAAGGTCGAACCACCTATGCTAGGTGTAAGCTAGAGGCGCCTGTTCGAGCCATGGATTGAGGTCAAGCTAGTAAAATAATCAGCTGCGCTAGATACTATTACTAAAATGAATGTCGCTGTTCAGCAGCGTAGCCGTCAATGTAATCCAGGAGAATCGTGTTATGAGAGGAGACGAAACAAGGAACAAGACCAGGACCAATACGAAGTGCTCTCCCGACGGATTGACAGGTTGTATTGAAGAAGACTAAAGGGCATAGAATGATGGGGGAACTGCTTTAATTGACTGCATAGACGATGTGAGGTCAGAACGGATTCCTAGATCGGTCCAACCCAGGGGGATTCTCTCTTTTTGGCTGGAATGTCGTCGGTGTCTTTTTTGACTGGATCGTTGTCGGTGTCGTACCCACTACCTAGGAAACCATTGTTGTTCGGGAACGCACAACAAATCAAGGGTGGTTTGAGGGCCGGAAAGCGCTGCTTGAGCTCGTTAAATGTCCACCAGGCCGGGATGGCTGGGATTGTGAAACGATCCGAATAGTGAACGATGCCGACGACGCTGAGATGCGGCTCCTCGATGACCCACGCTCCCCACTCCGAGAGGAAGCCGCCCGACTTGAAGGCATAGTGGTAGCACAGATCCGGATTACCCTGACACTGCGCACAGGGCTTAACAGTGTCCAACGGCTCATCACTTTGGGGAAGCTCCCGGTCCGGAATCATCAGCTGCCAACGCGGCACAGGCGTATCTTTGTCCATGATGGTGGGGAGCAGCACCCAGCTTGCGTCCGGACCGGGCACGCAGGTCCCCGCGAGCTCCTGGTTCGTCAGCTCCACGAGGGCCCAATTTCCTATCCGGGAGAAGTATCGCTTCTGGGGCTGCAGGGTCTCGGGATCTTGAGGGATACGCCCCCAGAGGGCGTGGGGCTCGCGGACGTCGTAGATCTCGGTCGAGTTGAACTCCGCGTCGTATGGGGTGCTGTGCCAGAAGGGCTGGGTACCGACGCCGCAGTAATGGTCTTCCAGGAAGGAACTGAGCACCGTCAATCCGAACCATTTCCCCTCCAGCTGGAGGATGCCACCGATAATGCCTGCCGCCCGTGGCTCGAGGGCCTCACAGCGACGGGTGGTGTATCGGAGCCCGCTGATGTTGCCGGTCCTATCCACGTCGATTTCCCTTGCCTGACTCGGCCTAGCTTTGGGCCTGGAGAGGATGTTTCTCGTTTCATGTCGGACTTCGTGTGAGGGGTATTCAGTCTGTTGCTTCTTATCGATACTGAGGACGAGTGTCGGGGGAAAGATAGTGGTGGTGATGAAGAACCACTCTTATATGTAGAAGGTAGGCATTATTTATCTTTTTCTGCGACGGTTAGATTGAGGGTATCTCCGGGACATTGACTAAAAAGCTCCCTTAACAAGAAAGAATAATAGTGGCTGCACTAAAAAATCCCGTCATCCATTCACAAAGAAAGCGAAAAGCTCCAAAGTATTGAAGAAGACATGTCGCCGTAGTTAGCAACTACTGCGGAAACTTACAGGTAGATTCATAAGCGTGCTCAAGCTGTGTTTGTACGGCTTGATCGACCGGCTCTATTTTCAAAGGGGATCGCTGCGAATGAGATCTACACGTGAATGTCATATATTCTCAGACCTGGATGAACTCCTTCTCTTACACGAAGCGAATGTTATGCAAACGAGGTAATCTTGATTTTTCCACAAGGCAGCGGGGCCAAATCAAGCGAAAGCGCGAGGTATACGATTGAGTTCTATCTAGAACTTGCGAAAATGCTACCTCACAAGCTCGATACTAACTTGGGGATCACAGGCATAGACCCGCAAGCCAAGCACGCAGATTGCATTCCATGCTGATGGTGAACTGCCATCTGTATCAACTGGCTGCTCATGGGGAGTTGCTTCTTCCTTATCTTGGTCTTTCTTGTCATCGTCCTGTTTGTCGTCTTTCTTATCCACATCCTTCTTGTCGTGGTGTTTGTCATCATGCTTCTTCTCATTATCATTATTATCTTCATGTTTCTTGTCTTCATTCTGTCTGTCAAGGTGCTTTGTATCTTCTTGCACCTTTTCTTCGTTATGCTTTTTAGTGTCTTTGCCCTTGTCCTCATGAAACCCTTCTGATGAACCAGGTGTTTGAAGCACTGCAGGTGAAGGCTCTGCAGGTGAAGGCTCTGCAGCGTGACCTTCTCTTTGGAGAATCTCCTCCTTGCTGACATCATGATCATGCTGAGCACTTTCTGCTTTCTCCACGTCTGCCTTCTGTGCAGACTGATCGTGTTCAGGCTTATCGCTGGCCGACTCAGTAGATTCAGATTTATCCTTACCGGCTTCAACTTTGCCGATCTCATCCTGGACAGCGTCACCCTTGCCAGCCTCACTCTTGCTAGCTTCTTCCTTTGCAGTCTCGCCGGTCGCATTTGATGCCTTGATCTGAGCTTCCTTATGGTTCCCAGATTGAACTTTAGCATTTGCCAGGTCGTAATTCATGGCAACTTGTTTCAGCTTCTGGGGATTCTTCTCCACCCACTTCTTCACCACATCTTCCACGTTCTTCTGATCGGAGTCTCTGGTTGCGAGAAGCTTGATAAGAATCTCGTATCTGCCGGGCTCAAGCTTAACCTCCGCACTGATCGAGCGATTGCCCCGGCACTGAACCGGCCGCACTAGCAATAAGTGCTGTCCGGGTTTCGCATTCTCCTCCTGGAGGAGGAAGTGCAGCGCAAATTCGTACTGCCCTTCAAGGCCTCTCAGATAGCGCTTATCAACCTGCGACCAAAAGTTAACCTCTGCTTACATAGCTATTATGATACTCATCCGAGAAAACAGAGTTTCAGCACACCTCAGAGAGAACGAAAACCACAGGGCCAGCTGCCCTGATCTCGACCACGAACTTGGTTCGAAGATATCCTTCAATCCAAGGGACGCTGACGCTCGTCCACCGCTGGACCACTGTCCACGTCTCGTCGAAGATGCGCGTCCGATGCAGAAACACGAACGTCGAGAGCAGATCCTCATAGGCCATCCAGAACATGCCGTCGTCTCCGAATCGGTGCTGCAGTTTCTGAAGCCAGTAGGGGGTCCACTCGCGCGAGCCATCGCTCCAGGGGCCATTCCACTCCCCGACCCCGCCGGTATTCCTCTCTCCCCAGGGGTTCCTGACCAGCACCAACTGCACCTTCTTCCCATTCTCATCTTCCTCCTCCGTCGCCCGGAGAATGGAATACGCATGCCCCAGCGCCAGCCCCCCGCGCGTCCACTCTCTGCCCGTCCCCAGCGCCGACGCAGCAAACACAAAATTCCGCTCCGCATTCACCAACTCTTTCCACAGTGTATTCTTGTTGAGCACCTTATTCGTCGCGATCGTCGTCGTCACGCCGCCAGTCATATCCTCGACCGCCTCGCCGGACCAACCGCCGGAGAGCGCCTCATAATCGCCATGCACCTTGGCATACGCCTTCTCCAGCAACGGCAGCCAGGTCTCATTAGCGTCGGAGCACTTGGCGAAATACAGCGCCTCGGAGCCCGTCTGATGCCGCTTGCGGTACTGCCGCGCCAGCCGGCCCGTGCTGTCGTAGCGATCGCCGTAGAAGTCAAAGTCCTCGTGGGACAGGTACAGGTTATCGTCCACCACAGTCGACACCCACTCGCCGTCGCGGTAGAAGATGAAGCCGTAGACGCCGCACTCCTCGTCGCGCGCCAGGCAGATCCGCTCCATCAGGTCCTGCCGGTTGCAGATCGTCGCCACCGCCGCCAGCCACCAGCAGTCGCCGTTGGCGCCCTGCTTGATGTCCGTGTTGGAGTACCCGTCGATCGTGAACTGGGGGTCCTCGAAGATCCAGTCGACGCGGTGGACGGAGCCAGGGACGCCCTCTTCCTCGTCAGCGTTGTCATCGGAGGAAGAGGAGGAGCTGCTGGACCGCCAGTCATCATCCGCCTTCGTACCAGACCCCCTACCACCCTTCCCCCTCACACCATCCCTCCTGCCTCCCGCAGCACCATTCCTCCCTCGTGCAGCACCCAAAGACACTCCCCTCCCCTCCCCGCCAAATTTTCCCCCCCGCACCAACCCGCGCAGGCAATTCCACAGCTCCAACTCGCGATCATTCTCAATGTCAAAGTCCGGGTCCGTGAACTTCTCGTTCATGCGGTGGCACTCCCGCACGATGCGCTGGACCTCCGCCCGGCACTGGCGGGCGGCCGCCTCGTAGCTCTCCGCTGCATTGCGCGCGGCTGATTGGCCCGGGAGTTCTTGTTGCGACGGGAGGAGATCCGCGTAGAGGCTCTGGGGAAAGATGGTGGTGACTTTGCCTGGCGTTTTGGTGATGAAGCTGTTCCAGAATGCGGTCAGGGTTGCTTGGGGGGTTCTGGGGTTGGAGGGGTCTGGCGCTTGCGGGGTGGTCATTATGCGAATCACCTTCTTCCGCTGAGATGGAACCTGGGTGTGTAAGGTTTGGAGCAAGGGTCAGAAGAATGTGTTTTGTTTCGAGAGATTGCCTGAGGAAACGTGGGAAGGTGTTAGGTCTTATAGTTTAGTAGTTTTAAAATGGCTGGTGTGCTAGTGCAGGGATGGTTGCGGGTGAGACAAGGCTGAGGCGTGAGTACGAAGGATGGTGTGTAGTTATGTCGGCCGTGTTACTTCTGTCAACCCCGCGCTTGATCTCACGACTGGCTTGAGTTCGTGGAGATTTCTCTGAGAGGTCTTGGTATTTGGATCCTTGTTTATCGTTTACTTGTAAGAGGAAGCTTTGTTAGGATTAAAGTGAAGCTTGACAGAAGTGCATGTATCTCGTGTGGTGCTGCGTATATGTCAAGGACAAGGGAAACAACTCACGGCAGCCTCGGATTCTGAAGCTGCAGAGGTGCGGCTGACGAGATCGGGTAAAATGTGAATGGAGGGGAAAGTTCTGGGCATGTCTGCATGTGCGGCTCATCGCATGCAACCAGCCCAACTGTCATCCCAACACTATGCAGACACCTTACCGAGCTATGTGTGAACCGGTTATTATTAACTTGTGAAGTACAGCAGAAACACCCCGCGCCAGACATCATGGGTATTTAACTGTAAGGTGAGGCTGAAAACTTTGATTATAAGTTCGAGTCATTGTTCTATTCACAAGGCGGTCTGAGTACTATGATTGAGCGTTCCAGCATGCTTTTGGGGTAATAGCTTGTTAGATCAGCATTCAACTACACAGTAAGCGGGTGAGACGTCAGGCCCTGCATTGAAGAAGGTGGGGAAAGACACCTGGCAGGCTAGACGGGCGGGAATTTCCGCTGCACCAGCCCACGGGCGGTGAAGACCGGCATTTCCCATCTCTCCCTACGCTCGTCGCCTGGCCTGAGGCTTTCAATGCCTGTCCCATTTTAAGTGCATCACACCCCCGCCATTCTGTTCTGCATTTAGACATGGATCGTGGGGCGAAGGCCGAGGGAGCAGGGCCTCTGACACTTGCTGCAGGGCTACGAAGCGGGGACATCTCTCCTCAGCATAGTAATTGTCGAAACATGACTCCACAACAAGTCCATTCATGCTCGTGATAGATACATTAAGACATTACAAGGTTATTCCTGAAACATGGGTATAATAGAAGCAAACGAATGACGGGGTCCATTATCAGGGTCCGCGAAGGTGACGTGGTTGGTTTGAGGTTCACCCTCGGCGGTGCTCAACTCGCTTATCCACATTACAACAGTCCCTCAACAGTCCCTCACAGAGATCCAATCGGCTTGCACACTAGCGGGCCTGACTAATCTCTTCATCCTGCGCGTTTGAATGCGCAGGAGATTCCTGGGGCTGATGTGCGACCGGGGTCGAGTGCGACGTTTCCGCCATCTCCGGGCCAGCAGTAGCAGCGGGAGCAGCGGGAGCGGGGGCGGCAGCCACAGCGCCACTGGCCTCAGCCGTTGACCCCTGTCTCGACTGCGGCGCCACACTGGACGCAGGACTGGGCTCGAGGAGGCGCGGACCGGGGGTCCTCTCGGGCTGCTTGCTGGTCTTGACGCGCGCCGGGGCCGGACCCAGCATGGGGGGGTACTTGAAGCGGAAGCCCCAGACGAAGAAGAGCTTAAGCTTCGTCCCGAAGCCCATCGCCTTCCAGCGCTTCTTCAGGACCTCGCCGTCGGCCTGCGAGCGCGCCCGGTAGCCCTTGCGGAACCAGCACAGCAGGAACAACGTCACGGGGAGGATGGTCAACGACCAGAAGACGGGGATGCCGCGCCGGGTCTGCCAGCCGGTCATCAGGCGGCGGAAGCGGACCCAGGCCTCGATGAAGCCCAGGATCAGGAAGAGACCGATCCAGCCGAGGGTCAGAATCAGCGTCAGGGCCAGCGGCGAGATCCCGAAGTAGTTGGGGTCGAGGAACCAGTTGTAGTTCTCGTCGTCCCAGTTGTTGTAGTACCCGTTGTAGTAGCCGCTGCCGTACGAGCTGGAGGAGCTGGTACTGGTGGGGTAGCAGCCGTCGCCGGTGTAGAGCTCGCTCGGTTGGTTGTACTGACTGAGGGAACTCAGGGAGCTGCTGGGGACCTGGGTCGGGTCGACGTACACGATTTCGATGGTGTAGGTGGTGGGCTGAAAGGGCTGGCTGTTGTCGACAGACAGGGAGGTGGAGACCGCGGTCAACGGGAGTAGGTTCTGCACGCGGCCTGGCGGGTAGATCTCGGCTGCAGTCGTCGTGGTCCAGTGCGAGGAGCAGCCTGTGGGCGCCGTAAAGGTTAGGTTGACCACGAACATAGTGCTGTCGGCTGCATCCTCATTCTCCAAGAAGTAGTCGTTATAATCAGCTCCCACGCCGGTGGGGTACAGCTGTTGGATGACAGTGATATCGGAGTTGGAGTTGATGACTTCATTGTAAGCGTCATACTCGCGATAGGTGGCGATTGAGGTGATGGTGGACTTGGCTGGTGGCAGGGAGGTGACCGTGGGGGTGATTTGTTCGATCTCGGTGGTGGTATACCTCTCGTAGTAGTCGGATTCGGTATAGACGTTCTCTTGGTAGTAGGCAGTAACGATCCAGGGAGCTGCCGCAACGAATGAAGACAGCTGGACCCAAAGGAGTGACAGAAACAGCAAAAACGAAGGTGAGGACGCCATCGTGGATGGTCGCCGGTGTAAGTTGGCTAAAGGAGCATGCAGAAATTGGAGGATGGGTGTGGCGCTCAATGGCCTTATTATACGAGGGGTCGAACAACACACTAGGCTCAACTCTGTAGAGTCACGCCGTACAGAGAGTCTAGTCAGGGAAATTGGCTTTAGTTCCTCCGCCAATTCTACACGCTATGATTGGCCGGGTTTCATACGCAGGGACGACGTGAAGGGTCTATCCTTTTTAGTCAGGGCGCTAAGACCCTCTTTACAATCTTTGTTTTCAGGGTCAAGCGATTCAAATGGCTTCTGCATCAGATCTTGACCATGTGTCTCAGCCGGGTTCACATGTTCGTCTTCAAACTCACAATCATGTCCTTTATCCTCTGGCAGAGGGTAGAGTGCCGGAACATGGAGATCTCTCATGGTTCTCTCCCCTGACCTCTCTCCTGACGAAAAAGCACTCGTCGCTGGTGGGAAATAGCCGGGGGGCGGGAAGCGACAGGGGAAAGAGGTTAGCGGCCTCGCTTTCAGGGTTCGAGCTATAGGGCTATCCGCAATGCAGCCTAGTCCCTTCGACTAGCCTCGTAAAGTTGGACGGCTTGTTCCGGATTTTCTCAATTGAGCCTCTTGGCCCCGACCTAGTGCTATTTAGTCCTGTCCGCAGCCCTGATTTGGCTAGCCGTGGACCAAGGTTTGACACTGATGCCTGCTGGTGCCTGATAGACTACCCAACCGAGTCATGGGTGTGAACGGGGGCGAGTTCTAAGAAAAGATTTTTTTTCTTGTGCTCTTTTGGTGCCTGAGGTGTCACTGCGGTGCCAAGACTTGCCCTATCTCAAGCTATCCACAGAATTTGAAAAGGAGAGAGAGAGAGACAGAGAGAGAGAAAGCAGAGAAATAGAAAGAGATGGAAAAAAAAATTAAAAAATCACCTATCGTCAAGTCAACACGCATCATGATCTGGGAGAATACAAGAAGCTTAAGAGGTGGACGTTTGACGAGAAATCTTAGGGTTCTACATGCAATACAGAAGAACGTGGACGAGAAAATATACAGTCACAAAGGAAATTGATTCTAGTCATGTGCAGCATACCATTCCTTTTCAACAAAGGAAGATTTAGCCTAGTGAGAGACACATCATTGGAAAGATTACTCTAACATCGCCACTGCCAATTGCCCAATCTCACATATCAAGCCTTTCCTCCCGTACTAAGAGTACCCCGTCTGCCGAGATTGAACGGCACGCCAAAGTGACCCCTTAGTACCTCCACGATCCGCTACCGCCAGGGCAGCCAGGCGTGCCATAGACCCCTCCGACCGTCCACATAATGAAGTCGGCCATCCACCAGACTGGGATGGCTGCGATGAGAACGGCGAGCAAAGCTTGAAGAAGGAAAGATTGCTCGAAGACTTTCGATGCAGCTCGAACAATGAAGAGTAGTAGCCACGCCAACATCTTGAAGACAGCAAGCGCCCAATGGTGCGCGTACCATTGATCCACGCCGAGCAATCCCAGGTACGCCGACAGCAGAATCGCCGTGCGTTCTTGCCGATAGCACTGGTTGTCCATCGGCCGCTCGGCAAACCCACCCCACCGTGCCTGCAGATGCTCATGGCCCTGGCCACCCTCCTCCCGGAGCCGGGCGTCTCTCTCGCCTCCATAGACCTTCCGCGTGACAAGGAAACTGAGACCACCGACCCCAAGCGTTAGAAATGTAACACAAAATAACGCTACGTAAAGGCGAGGCCATAAACTCGCCGCCTCTACAGGCAGGTCGAGCTGGCGCTGGCGGCTTTCAGGACTCTGAGCCTCTTCGTCATGGCGAGGACCCTTTTCGAGTTCGTGGTCCATTTTGTATGATGAACACGATTGGATGGTCACAGATTGCGAGAGGTCGAAAATGTGTTGATGAGCAAGCGGGGAGGCAGGTTGAGTTGTGTTGAAGCTGTTGGTAACTTTATATGGCCGATGCTGTTCCCTGTGTGTGTGGCTCCCCTTGTGTCCTTGCATTCTTTGCTCTGATCAATAAATAGTTTTACGACTCTCAAGACCGAGACACATCTGTGAAAGGCTTCTGCTGTTCTTTGTACCGCTCTATTCAATCTCATTCATTCCTTTGTTTCGACTGCCGTTTGTTGTCTATCGTTCTTCGAACAATCTCTTTGTCGACTGAACAGTTGTCCGTCCACTGTAGCCTACTCCGCCCATGAAAGAAACCATGCTTGCAATGATTGGCACTGACATTTGTCCACTGATTTTGAGCTAGTAACAAACCAATGCAGCCAAGAAACAATCATAGTCACTTCTTTGTCATTACTGTAACATTCTATAGCCATAAGATCCATAGTTATGTGCGCCATCACTGCCCTAATGTCTTCTCGAGTTTCAACAAAGACTCTGCCGTATCCTTGATACTCGCCTCCAAGGAATAGAACTCAATCCCCAGCCGCGTGCGCACTTTCTCATTCGACACCCCATACACCTGGGGCACCTCCCGCGCCGCCTTACCGACGGGCACCTTCGCCGTATCGACCTCCGACACCTCGGTCCTCAGAATCTCACACACCTGTGCATAATCAAAATTGCCGGCAACCACAAAGAACCGCTCATTAGCCGCCCCCTCAACCTCAAACGCGCGCAGATGCGCCTCCGCCACATCCCGCACATCGACCCAGGCCGGGAACCCGGTCGGGGGGATCTCGCTCAGACTCCCGTTCATGAACCGGTACACATCCGCGGCGCTCTCGTTCAGACGATCCATGCTCGCGACGTGGTGCTCGACCGGGCCGTAGATCATCGGGGGACAGATCGTCGACAAGCTAAAATTGGGCTTCTCGCGCTCCACGAACTCCCACGCGGCTTTCTCGGCCAGCGCCTTCGAGGCGCAGTAGGCCGTGGGCCCGTCGGCGGTCTTGGCCTGCTCGTACGTCTCCGGGTTCCAGTCGGCTTCGGTGTAGGTGTGCTCGGGCCAGTAGCCCTTGCGGAGGTTGACGATGGAGGCGAAGGAGGAGGTGAGTACGATGCGCTGCACCTGGGGTGCGTGGCGGTGGGCGGCGGAGAGGAGCTGGAGGGTGCCCTGGATGGCGGGTTGAAGGAGGTCGCGTTCTTGGTCTTGGACGCTGAACGCGAAGGGGGAGGCGGTATGGATTATCTTCCATCGCCCGGAGTTAGCTCATGGACCTTGCTTAGTGTGAAGGTGTATGCCATGGGGCATGCCTTCAATTGTTTGGAGGAACTCACGCCTTGAACGCCCTTGACGGCTTCATCGAACGCCCCCGGTTGGGCGATATCCTTGACAATTGTGAAAGATAGTTTGTCCCCGTACTCCGTAAAGATCTCACGCACTCTCTCGGCGGTCTGCTCCGAGCGGACGGTGCCACGCACGCGGTAGCCTCGTCGAAGGAAGACCCGGAGGACGTGCGTTGCGACGAAGCCAGAGGCTCCGGTGATGAGGATAGTTTGATCTTCGATCTTCGACATGACGTCGACTTTGCTTGTGCTATGGATGGGTTTGTCTGTAGAGAAACTGTCCCTCAGAATCTCTAGCAGCTGGGGGCCAGACCGTCTTAAGTACCCTTGAGGACTGATGCTCAGGGCGTCTGGCCTTTTCCGGTCCCGCCATACTGGGGCATCATATAGGTGTGGACTGATGTGACCGTAGGTGTCCTGATCTCATTCTCACCTCATGAAGCCGCTTGTCCCATTTCGAGACGCGAAGCGGGGTGATTGTGGGACCTTTCTCACCCATTGCGCCTGTTATGGCAACCTGGAACAATAATGTTTAGTGATATAGTCTCCACCACGGGAACTCGGCACCATCTTCCCGTCGTGAAGTAGGATCATTAGGAAAAGGCAGTGACGACACGGCCCACTAACGTTGATAAGCTTCACCTATGTAGGGTGATACTTAAGGTGCCGGGTAAGACGGATGTGCTTGACATTGACATTTGTCGCGGGCACGTCCCCGTACATGGAATGCGACGAAGGGTGCTAGGGTGGTCCAGCCGCGCACCGCGGCCCGGGTTCTCGGGCTTGGCTGCAATCGAAGGACTCCGGAGCATGAGGTTCCCGGTTGTCTTGAAACACCCGCGCGGATCGGGGTGTGGCGCTTGTAGGGTCTCAATGTATTGCTTTGCTAGGCTACCTGTTAGGCGCACAATGAAAGATAATGTATGCCATCTCCAAGTGGCTCAATCTCTCCCCTTTACTGCCTGTTTAGGCAATTTTGGCACTCATTTTAACGGTATCCGCTCCGGTTGTACGAAAAGAGGCCCGATCAAGTTCAATCTTAGGTTATAATAATGTGTAATGAGACCCGGCCAGAGTATGTCTGTTCTGACGGAGGTATCCCACACCCAAGCTGATTAAAGCTTCGCTGTTCGCACGCCTCGTCTTCAAGGTTCCGGGCCATCTTATCTCCTTCCGAATTCCGAGGCTTATCTTGCCCGACCGTCTCGTGCAAATGCCCTAGCCAGATCGAGCAGATCGATCCGATACAGGTTGGACCGAGCGACTCGGTCAGTAGTATAGGAGCAAAGCTAAGATATTCTCGCGATCTCGACCTGGTTTGCATACATGGTGAGTCTCATCGAAGACTATCAGACCTTTGAAGATCAATTGCCCCATTACTCGGAGAAGATTCGGATGCGCGGCCAAGCCGGATCCTTATCAAACTTATCGCTCCCAACTCTGGCCAGCCAACGCCGGCAACTCGGCTTAATGATTGGAAGACATAGTGAAGCAAACATGGCTGCGATAACTAAATAAGTATGAAGAGTACCCATAGACTTTCTTTCTTGTGCTTAGAAATTTTTTTGTTTGGGGTTTTTTGGTATCCTCACTGAGTAGCAATTATCTGGCCAAAGAGAAAGGACCACAATGTTAATGTACTGCGTACCCGAAATCGCATTCCATGCATGCCGCCAAAACCAAGCATCATAATCCCACTCTATTCATTCCAGCCTTTCTCCTGTATCCCAGGTCCATTGACCCGACTAGTACACCCTCCCCAATCGAACATAGACATGACAAAACCTTCCCGCAGTCGTACTCATTGACTCCCGCACCCGCACCCCCTGCTTACCATTCACGAACCCCACATCCACCGCCGTCTCCAACGTGGTATTCGCCGAGGGCGGCTCTTCAAAAACTTCCCCGTCCCCGCAATCGCATTTTTGCCTCCTGTTTAGTTCGAGATTCTGCCAGATCCACCAAACCCGATCGATCATCCCATAATGGCCCCAGAAGGCCACATCCCTGGGATTGACATACACATCGCAGCCAGGGTCCCCGCCCATCGAGTAGTGGATGCCCGCCGTGCACCCCGATCGTCCCGCTGCCGAGGACGCTCTGCATGGTCATCTGAAACGAGTAGATCGAGGTGTTGTTGAGAATCAAGGCGAGGGTGTGGGGGTAGGTGTTGTAGCGCTGCAGGATTGTGGTTGTGAGGGAGCGTTTCGGGCAGCGCGGATTGTGGGCGAGCGGGTTTGCTGCGATGGACATGTTGCCGCTGGCAGTGACAGGACGGCGGGGCCGAGGTTGATGGTGTGGTTTTTGAAGAGATTTGATATTGGTACTCCCTTTTTGGATAGCCGTACGCCTCTAGCGATTTAGAGGAAATAGTAGAGGCATATTACTTTTGGGTGTAAGTATTTATGTAAAATCTAGTATATTTTAGATAACACTAGAAGCAATCTTCTTACATTAGGGACTATTTGCATTCTTTTCTAGCTGAAGATCTTGCTATTAGGGTTCTTAGAGAGTCTTTTTTGATTCTTTCTATTAGAATTGTTTAGGGAGATTAGAGTATAGATATTTACAAAACAAAATACTCTTCGAGTATAATACAAAGCATATGTTTTTGTATGTAGAGATTTATGCATCGTCTCTTTCTGGTAAAGGCTGTGCAGCTGCCACCTTATCCGAAAAGGCTTAAGGGGAGTATGTTATAATTAGAGGAAGTACGGCTATTAAATCTCTTTTTGAAGGGTACGCTTGTGATGCAGCCTCCGCTAGTGGTGGGGGGGGGGGGGGCCAAGGGGTAGAGTGATGGAGGCGTAATCGTCAAGCAGCAGTCGGATGGCGGATTGGTTGGCGATGGGGGCGACGTTGCCGGACATGGATGTGGGGCTGTCGTCGAAGACTGGGGAGGTCTTCATTGTGGAGGCTGGGATGGCGTCGGCCGCCCAGTCCCAGTGTCTTTTCGAAGGCAGTCAATAATGGTCTGGGTGGGATTGTGGTGGAGAGAGCTTACGGGTAATCGCCGGTGTAACTGCACTCGCTGCGGAGGGCGGACTCGAACTCGGAGATGAAGTATTGGTGCCAGGCTAGGAACGTTCCCTATCAGTGACAGTTTGCTTCATATGCTCACTGAGTATCGAGGGAGGGAAGCGCACTGTGTAGTGGGTTTCCAGTGTGTGATTGATGTGAGTCGCTACAAAATCACCGCAACGCGTTCTTGCGCCCGGGGCTAACTCCGAGAAGTACGTAAAGGCAATTGTTGCAGGCACATCACGGAGTTGATTTAGTCCTTCTTCTCTGGGGAAGTCAAGGCTCGCCAGTTGCGGTGCTCATGTTCAGCGCTCTTGGCAAGGTTGGTGACTGCGACCTTGTGAGCGAAATCGGCCAGTTGCTGGAGTTGAGAAGCTGCTACAAAGGTGTCGTTAGTTTCTGCAGATGGAGTCTTGGAGAGTGGAGCCCAGGATTGCGAGACTAACAGTCCCACGACGAGAGGTTGAAGAGCGATCATATTTGCGATTTCAATCCAGGGAGAATGGAGGATGGGATATCGCTCACCAAGCTGAACTACTGGGCGAAAATGGTCACTTTATAAGAAGATCGGGCTTCTCTTGATACAGATGGACCCACTCTCTCAGTAGCCAAGCCTAAACAGGATGAAGCTCAATGGCTGGAAGGTTTATTCATTGCAGCAACGTCTCGTTTCTAACAATCGGATAGCGGGCCGGGCAATTGCTAGGAGCGGGAGGACCACTCGCATTTTCAGAGAATGCACATGAGCTAGAGACACGTCAATATGCCTAGACCAGATCCACGGTGTCTATCAGACTCGGCAGGTAACCGATATCAAACTACTTCAGCATACAGCAAGCCAATATAAAGAAATCCAGCCTAGCGCTGCTGGCGAGTTCCATTGCTCATCCTCCCAGTGTGAAGTTCCCTCTTAGAGACTACAAGCTTACTAGGTAGCAGCATTTGCCCTAGATAATACATTCACTGTTTCCGAATCTTTAGGTTTCCAAGCACCCCCCTCCCACTTTTCCAAACATAATCAATGTATTGATTAAGCGTTTGTCAGATGCGTGACCCAACGTTGATTCTTCTACCCTGCTAAATCCGATCACGTAGGTCGCTGTCCGACTGATCAACATCATCCCCATAAATGCTCTTCACCATCCAGTAATATGACCGTCTCTCTCCAATCTCGTTCAACAACCACAACAATCTACCCATCGAAAACCCCAATATCTCACTCCACCTTCCTGACCTGTTTATCCTCCTGACCCCACCCCCCAAACAAGACTTCATCCCGAACCCAGCTCCCAAGCAAGCATGCACTCCCCGGACCCAGCAACAATGACCCTCCCAGAGCGACAGGAATCATCCTCTGCCATCGAAAATCCCATCCCTTCGCCGCCCACGCACTCCGCAGTTCCAGCATTACCACAATCATGACTGTCGAGTACCCGGCTACTTGGTCCCAGAGCAAGAACCCACGCACTCCATCGCCAGGTGATTTGGCTTGTGGGCCAATGGCCAGTGGTGGGATGAATATAGCGGTCGGGTGCAGTTCATTATGGTAAATTGGTTGGAATAAAGTCGGGAAGAGAACGGTGGTGATAGAGACAGATGCGGTAGAGATGTGCATTAGTGTGCTGAAGAGGAGAGCAGGGATGGTGGCTGCTCGGATGGCGTGGATGTGTGCTTCGTTCTTCTTGGAGGTTGCTGGGGTCGTTTGGGTGGTACCTGCAGGGGCGATGAGCTTAAGAAAAGGTCGCAGGGTGTATAGTGATGCTAGCGTCAGCAGGGGATAGATGTTCCACGCGACGATGGCGAGTTGGTGGAAGTTGCTGCTGTTGCTGATTGTGCTGGCCACGGGAAGGGTCATAAGGGCGGCAGGGACAAGATAGCTGAGAACGATGGCGGGAAAGAGGAGGTGGTTCACCAGCGGTGCGAAGGATGAAATGGCGGAGAAATGTTGGAGGATACTGAGATGGGTCTGCTTGGGGGGGCGGACAGTGTGAGAAGTAGTGATATAGTTCAAGGCCCATAGGAAGCCGGTCGAGCCTATGGTGCAGCCTTGGAAAAGTAGCAGCCAGAGGGTCGGTATTTAGTCACAGACCATAGATGTTAGCTTTTGTGAGGATTACCATCATCAACAGACATAAGAGCGGGGTGATGCACATACTTCAGAAGACTCGGCTTCTGCCCCCGGAGACCATTTACGTAGGCGATGACAATGCACGGCAACAGCTGCCCGAGGAAATAGAGACTCACTGCTGAGGCGGCAGGGTGAGAACCATCAATAGCCTCGTACCAGAAAGCAACCAGCACCGAAAGAGTGCAATCAAGTGGGTAGCGAATGCCGGTGAAGTTTCTCCGCAGAGTAGCCTCGGTTCCGGGAAGGATGTAGGGCTTAGAGCCATCCAGCGCCCGTAACAGAAGCGCAGTGGAGCCGTCGAGCGCGGAACGGCCCCAGGTCCCTAGCATGCCCACCAGGCCCACTACATACAGAACAGACTCGGCTTGGGCTCTTTTGAACATTTTGTTTCGAAGTAAAAGACTTCAATGGTAATGAGAATAATATGGGAGGAGGGATTACGGGTTTTATATAATCGACTCTTCTTTGTTGACAGCGGATGGAGATACGAGCTGATGTGAGAGTGAGCTGTGAATCATGACGTCACTTCAACCCCGCCAGCTGATTTCAGCTGCACACGAGCTGCCTTTTGTCTGTCGAGTGAGTTGGCCTATAACAGTAGTGCTAATGATTCTAGATGGGGTCCGATCGCTCCCAAAGTTAAATTAGTCTATTTCCTGAAGCTCTGGCCTAGGTCAAATGCTAAGATTCTGCAAGCAGCACATATCGAGGCTAGCGGGTAGCAACCAAGGGTATTAAATGTCATCTATTCAGCATCATGACTCCTAATACGTAAAAGGAAGACGACGTCCTCTGAGCAATGGTTTTTTGAATTCATGAGTGAAGAGAATGCCCAAGTTGATATTGAGGATATTATAGGAAATTACATATACATAAACTTCATTTCATGATGCACTTTACAGCCCCTACCCCTGCTGCTGTTCTTGCTGCTGCTGCTGCTCCTGCAGCTTCTTCCTCTCCTTCGCCTCCGCATCCGCCTGCTTCCACGACCCGGCATAATGATGGCTCACCAACGCCGGACTCTGATCGGTGGGAAACCCATTCTGCGCCGCCGCAAACGCATTCCCTGGCATAATCAACAAATCCCCGACCAGTTTTGGAGATTTGATACCGTGGAAATCCCGATCATCGACCACCCTTCCTAGCAACCCCGCCAACCCATTCAACAGCGCGATGGTCATGATCTTCGGGCCCGTGACATTCACCACGTCGACGGGCAACATTTCCAGCGTCAACTGGTCCACGCCCACCCCATTCAGGGCGGCGATCTCCTTCAATTTGGCGACGACCGCGTCCACCACCGCTGCCAGATTGCGGGACCCCGGCCGCGCCGCGAACACCCAGTTGCAGAACTGCGACGCCACCTCGGTGCCTTCGCCGCGCCACCCGAAGTCGAACTCCAGCCCCACGATCATGTCGATGTTGGAGGATGGGTACTCTGGGGGCACCCAGGCGTCGACCTCCGTGTCGCAGGTGACGTCGAGATCGCTCCAGATGCCACCTTCCGCCAGAACGATCAGGTAGCGGAGGAGGTCGGCACGGAGGATGGGGATGGGGAGCTTTTCGTACACTTCGACAATGTCCGGGCGGGTGGCGCCGTAGCGGGTGTGGACGAAGGTGAGGGCGGAACCGTCGGTGAGGAGCTCGTGGCGGAAGGTGGGGTTCTTGAGGAGCCAGCTGTTGATCCAGCCGATTTGATCGGCACTCAGCTCGGGGGTCTTGGAGGAGTGCCAGACTTTGTCGGTTATGCCAGCGATGGCGGCGTCGACGGTGTGAGGATTGGAGCTGGGAAAGGTGGTAGAAAGAGTAGTAGGTTCTGTCTGGATGTTGTTGTTGTTGTCGTTGGCACTGCTTTGTGGTGGCGGGTGAGCTTCAGATAACCCTAACGAGGCATTCGATTTGCTGTGACTGAAGGGTTTAGGTATTTCATCCCAATTCTGAGATATAAGAAATATTAACGAAAGAAAAGGGACCGTGAGCAAAATAAAACGCAGATATCGAGAAGAAATCATGCTGACCAGCAACAGGTGAGTGACAGGAGGAGATCAAAAGTGAGTGAACATTTGGCAGAGTAACGTGGGGCGAGGGACGGAGCAACGTGGGTATGATGTGATATTTAAGAGAGAGACATGGAAACAAGTCAGGGTCTAGGCTGGATGCCTACAGGCTTACTTAGCACGTGGGTGCTGCTTTAATTAGCACAGGCGCCAAGCCATGGCAGCTTTAGCCAATATGAGTTTAACCTTACCAGAACTTGTCTCACTGATGAAAGACACTCCCACTCACTTACATGGTACCCTGGCAAGACAAATTTTAAACGCCAATGATACAAGCTTCTAGTCCAGGCCCGCTTTAGCTCCAAGATCAACCCAATTTACGGAAAACCAAACTCCCATCCGCGGCGCTGTATGTAGCGAATAACACCATCGCCCTGGTAGGCGCCCGCATTAAAACCCGTGCCTTTGTTGCTGCGGTTGTTCCGCTAGAGATCAACACTCTTATCCAACACAAGGCTACGGACACGACAAAGATGTGTCTAGGCAAGGATTCACATCCTTATCACGCGATGGTGTTGAGGCTGCCAAGGTACAGGAGCTAGGCCCCGCAGCGCAGCGAGGGGGGGCCGATTTATGCTTCATGCTGTACTGGCCTCGTTTGAAATCGGAGGCTGAATGACTGACGTTCGCTGCTATTTTCGACTTTTGATGTGCTTGTTTTCTGCTTGCCCTACCTCCCCTATCCAAGCATTCTGGTTCAGTCGGATACAATATCGCCAGTTTTCAGGATCGATTCGATATGGATTCTCGTCTTCCTCACGCTTCGTCTCCAAGGCACACACGGTCAGACGACAGTCGACATCTCCATCGAGAGCAATCCCCATTTCATCGGGTGGTATCTAGACCCAACAGGCTGTGAGTGCTCATTCCGTCTTTCCAGGTAGTCAAAGGTTCCCGTACTTAAAATCACTCCCCATCCACAGCGCACGCATTAACCGATCCCAACACCTGGACCACATCCGGCACTTACGCCGCAGGATGTTCAGGGAGTGCCTGTTCCTTTGCAACGCTGTGCACTGCCAACACTCTCTTCTACAATAACAATGAGAGTCTCGTCTGGTAAGATCCACCCTCAAAGCAACCCATTAGTCCCGCTCTATGCCTGCTTCTGATGCTTCTCGTGGTGACCAGCACCTCTGCGCGGTGTTATACAATGACTATCTACCAAACCTCCCCTTACGGCGGTCCCAGCGCGAGTAACCTGTTCTGTGCCCAAGCCTGGAACGCCAACACCGTCTACCGCGAGCTGCCCGCCGCGAGCACGACACCAAGTAGGCAACCCGGTTGGCTCTTTCTTTGCACTAGCCTGGCTGATAATGATAACATCTATCAGCTTCCAAAAGCAGTCTCACCACCGCGGCCATTACGTCCTCTCCGACCGTGACTTCGATAAAAGAAACATCTGCCGCCACGATCTCATCCACGACCCCAACAGCCAGGGAGTCCGTTACAACCTCCTCGAGTGGCAGTTCCTCCAAAGCGTGGATCGCCGGCCCCGTTGTTGGGGCAGTAGTGGGGATCGCTATCATCGTCGGCGGAGCGATCTTCTTCCTCTCCCGCAAGCAGAGACGGACGTTCCACCCCCAGCCTCAATATGATCTTGGCTCAGGGTATCCTTACGGGGGTAACGGGAGTTTTGTCCAGCAGCAGCAGCAGCAGCCGCAGGAGAGACATGAATTGTATCAGGAGCATTTTGCGCCCAAGGGGCCTGCGACTGTGTATGAGTTGCATTAGATCGTCTTTGTGTCTGAGTGAGGTAGGTGGCTTTGACTTGAAATCAATAACTAGTATCACCTGCAACATATTGATCTAGAAGACTCTCACTTCAATGTCTTTCACAACAAGCTCCTTCCGATCTAAAGATGGAAAGCTCAAGGGAAGCGTGCAAATTGTGGATATAGAGTATATGGGAGGAACTGTTTCCACCCCGCAGCTGAGGTGGTGAGGTGTCCAGCTAATCGAAGGCGTGGGAATCTGTTATACGCCTCCAGCGTATAGATAAAGCCAGTACCGAGCTGAAAAAAGACAAAAGTCTTCCCAATTGGAAATACTAGAGGAATTATACAAATGAGGTAGTCCATGGAAAAGCAGGACATAAAAAGCTACCTCTCAGTACATTCTCAGCCCATAGAGCCTGGAAAGAAGATGCATACTGAGTACTATCTGTGCAGCCTTTTAAAATGTGGAATTTTCACCAGCCGGACGACTACTAGAAAGGTCTTCTTATCAACGTGTTATTGCCAGCCGCCATCATCACCTCCACCAGGTTTCTTCATGCACGTTGCAGCGGCCCAAAAACCCTGAAGTCTAGGTATTGAAGAAGAAGAATAATGATGTATGCGGAGGCCTATGACGACAGATAATCACATCTGCCTGAGGACTATAAAGTGGCCATCACGAATGAGTGACTGATGTGCTCCGGTTAAGTGTAGGCAAGAGATTCGTTATGAAAGAGATGACATGTTACTTAGATAGCTTCAAGATCGATGGTAATTGCGGCAAAGTGGCAGTTGGGTAATTGATTATGTCAACTAACTACTTTGTTAGTCAAGGATAGCTTGATGGTTTGCTGTCCCAGCGGTTCAATATCCGATTACGATGCCTTATGACCTACGTGATGATGTAAGCCCGGCTGGCCAACATAGCAATAAAGAAGTCCCCAAACCCGCCCCACCGCATGGAGTAAAAGAATATCATTTCCAGCTCTTATCGCACTTCACAGACTCGACGAATTTCTCAGGCCTCGTGAGATGTCTTCCCGAGCCTTATGTCGTCGAGTGGCGCTTCCAGCGCTCGCGCGGCGCTTCCCAGTGTCCGTGTCGCAAAGGCCGCTCACCACACAGCAGAAGGAGATTGTCAAGTCCACAATTCCGGCACTAGAACAGCATGGCGTCACGATCACCACCCTCTTCTACAAGCGTCTGCTCGAGGCGCATCCCGAACTGAAAAACATTTTCAACACTGCGCACCAAGCAACTGGGGAACAGCCTGCAGCCCTGGCGCATGCTGTGTGGGCGTACGCATCCAACATCGACCAGCCCGAGGCCCTAAGTACGGCCGTGTCTCGCATTGGACACAAACATGCCAGTCTGGGCGTTCTGCCCGATCATTATCCGATAGTCGGTCAGCATCTTCTCGTCGCAATCAAGGATGTCCTGGGACCGGCCGTCAACGAGCAGGTCCTTGCCGCGTGGGCCGCGGCCTACCAGGAGCTGGCCGACATATTTATCAATTTCGAAGATCACCTCTACAAACAGCATGTCCAGACACCTGGCGGCTGGGTAGGATGGCGGAAATTCTTCGTCTCTCATAAAATCCCGGAGAGCGAGGAGATCGTTTCCTTCTACCTTCGCCCCGTCGACCAGGGCGCGCTGCCCGAATACCACCCCGGCCAGTTTGTGAGCGTACGATGCTATGTGCCCGAGCTGGGCTCCTATCAACCGCGGCAGTATAGCCTGTCCGACATTCCGAACGGCCAACACTTCCGGATCTCCGTCAAGCGGGAGATGGCGAATGCTTCGCGGCCAGCCGGTCGGATCTCGAACGTTCTGCACGAGTCACTGCCGATTGGCGCGGAGCTGGACGTGAGCATGCCGTCCGGTGACTTCGTGCTCGATATCAACGCCACCACTCCCGCGGTGCTGATCAGCGGTGGCGTGGGCCTGACGCCCATGATGTCGATGTTGAAAAGCATTGTCAGCCAACAAGGTCCGTCTCGGCGTGTGGTGTTCATCCATGCGGCACGGAATGGGCGCGTCCATGCCATGAAAGCCGATTTAAACCAGATCGTTGCGGAGAATCCGATGGTTAGCCGCATAGTCTTCTATGAAAATGCCGCCGAAGGCGATACCCAAGGTGTGGACTATGACCATACTGGGCGCGTGGATTTAGCTCGGATCAGAGACGAGGCTGTTCTGCCCGATGCCGACTACTACATCTGTGGGCCGCAACCTTTCATGAAGGCGCAGAGCAAGAGCTTGGAGGCTTTGGGTGTGGCGCGGGACCGCATTCACATGGAGGTCTTCGGCTCTCCGCGTGATTGAACGACACAACAGAAGCCTGTTGCCATAGGGAGTTAGGTGGCTCATGTACTTGGGCTCTCTACTTAAGATGACAAGGGAGAGCAGACAGGAAAATGTGTCAATCATATTTCTTAAATAACAGACAGGCAGTTACAGAAGAAGCGGGGCAATGTGTAGAAGCAGATGCGCCGCCGGTAGTATGAAATTCTGGGAATTATCTCAAAGATGCACATGGGTTGACACATATGCTCATATTGTTACGCAGCAAGCCATGTGAAGCTGATTGCAGGGTGGTTATTTCGCTCGTTAGGTTGGTTTCCGTTTGGCATCATGTTTTGCCTTGGGCAAGGCAACCTAGCTAGGCGACATTGATTTGAGCGAAGCAGAACGTGATAAAAATCTCTTGCAGGAACGCACACCTTTTGAGCCGCGACGATATAGCCTGGCAATGATGAAAGTATGCTTAGGGGTAGGATGTGCGTAAAATAGTCGGCAAGTCTATGACGTCATTCAATACTGCAGCCCCCAGATGGCTTGTTTCATATACTGGTCATTAATCGTCTTCAGAGTCAAGTTAGTCTGCGAATCATTCGATACTATCTCCTGCGGCTGAGGATGATGTATCACGGACCTGTCATGGAGCTCGAACTTGGTCGAAGATAATCGGAGCAAGAGGCAAATTGCGTACTCCTTGGGAAAGTCCGGTTGCTAGAAGTTATCCGAGCCTGGCACATTCTGCTCGAAAGGTGGCGCCCAAGAAACCCCTGCTCCAAGCAGGGGGCAAGATATACTCGGCGACATGATCGTACGTGTATCATTTCCGAAGCCCTGTACATCGTTACACACATGGAGCTCACCTGACTATTGGTCTAATAGTTTCGGAAGAGTAAGGCCGAGTATCAAACCTACCATGTGAGATAGACTACAACGCGGTCAGGCAAGTGGGCTGTAAGTTGGGTGTGTTCTACCCATTCTCTTTACGAGTCGGCAAGACACAGAGGCTCAGGCGTCTGAAGCGTTTCTGTGTCAGGGTGAGGTTTCTTTCTTTGGGTTGGTTGAGACTAGATGAATCCAACAGAGCTGTCTGATTGAATCAGCGCCAGATGGCTTCCAGACCCTCTTTATCCCTCTCCCGTTGTAGCTCCTCGCTGTATCCTTCTACTTCTTTTACCTCATCGCATATGATCCGCTATACCGTTGATCCGACCGAGGAAGGAAACAGTCCTATTGCAAGTATCCGTTCTGTCTTTATTGGACCAGTCGCCTGGCGGAATAGCTCGCCTGACCATCATTGCCTCGGCTTTCGCTTCCAGTGCATGGGCGCTTCATTGGTTTTCGGGTAATGCGGAATATCTGCAAAATGGTACAGAGGTTCTTGTTTGAACTACATGATAAAGTGTATCTCTCTACATTAATGTTTGAAGAACTGACCAGATGTGGAAAATTCACAGTGTCCAAAAGATAATTCTAGGGCTTTATTGAAACAGGCAGCTCCCGGCCGCTGTTTTGTTTTTCAGAATGAGACGGATATAAGATGTGCAGTTTGATGTAGATGGTTGGTATGAATAAATACTCATAGGCTACTGGTAGTAGAATAATTCCAAAATAGAAAGCGGTGATTCTGGCTATGAAAATGGGGCAGAAAATACTTTTTGAAAACCTCGCCGTGTTTGGCGAAAATCTATCCGAGGTGAAGATAAAACAAGGCCATCCCAACCCACAGTGACTATATACTCTGTCCTCACTGATTTCTGTTATTCGGAGGCGCTACTTGACTATCCGCAACAGGATAGAAAGAATTTGTCACTGCAGGGGTTTGCTGACAGGTTTTTTTCAGGGGAAGTCAATAGCAAGGATAATTGGGAGGCTGAAGCCCAAGCTCCTTCCAACCAACAGTCACTGCCTGAGGCAGCAAACAGTGGATCTTCTAGTCAAATTCCAGTGGCTTGGCAGGACGGAGTGCTTGATTAGATTTCAAATTAGATTTCAAATTAGATTTCAAAAGCCGTCTGTTCAACCACCAACACACCCACCACCCAAACGTAAAATGGCTATCCCATCCCTCCCAGCCGAACTCATCCGCCACGTCATATTTCAATCCACCCCGCCCAAACAATGGGGCAAATACTGGCCCTCCACGCGGGCCGTGGACGAGGTCAAGGACTTTCTGGCGCTGAGGCTAGTGTGCAGTATGTTATCCCCGCTCGGTGTAAACCAGCGACCTGAATTCTCATGACGGCAGAGGAATTCAACAACATCGTTCTGGATTATTTCCTGGACCCGCGGGTTTTGACCCAGAGCTTTGACTCGGCGTGTCTGCAGCGGAGTGACCCGCCCACGCCCCCGGCGATCCGCTTCTGCCGGAGACTGTTGAGCCGGCATCTGGAGCGGAGTCGGGCGGGGCGTCAGGTGAATGAGGTGTCGAGGAAGTTTGCGCAGCGTGTCAATGGGGTTGTGGATGCGGCGGTTGCTGCATTACGGGAGGGGAATAGGGATGGGGATGAGGTTCAGAGGCTGCGCAAGACGTACACGGAGGGCATGGCGGCCGCGGTGGTCGCGTTCGGGGGTCTTACGAAGGCGATGTTTCAGGGGATAGCTGGGACGAAGCCGGAGAGGGAGGGTGTGGAGAAAGACCAGGATGGTGATGATGATGATGATGATGATGATGGGCTGGAGGAGGATGAGGGAGAAGATGATGATGATACGGAGTGGGCGTGGAGCGATCCATTGACCATGGCGCTGACGGCAGCGGGGATCCTGTGTCGAGTCGACGACATGAAGACTCTCATTGCCAAGGGTGCGAGGCCTTGCTTTGAAGAAGATGGAGGATGGATTGGGTTGACCCTTCACGGCGCTGCGATCGGCGGCAACCTCGATGCCATGAGCCTTCTTTGCGAGCACATTCGGCGCGAGAGTGTAGGCGACGAGGACGAAACCATGGACGACTGCTTGCACACGGGGAACACGGCGTTGCATTTCGCCGCACAGTACGGTCACTGCGAAGCCGTGCAGTGGTGCTTGAAGGAGGGATTCAAGCCGGATGACAGGAACAAGAACGATCAGACGCCGCTCTTCCTTGCTGCGAGTAGCGGGCATGCCGATGTTGTTGAAAAATTCCTCGACCTGGACTTTGAGCGAGAGGGGAAGTGGAGGCTGTCAGAGAAAGATCAAGAAAGGTCTGCTGCTGCTGCAGCGGATGATGATGATGATGACGACGACGATTGGTTCACGATGCAGCGCGCTATAGTTGACGTCGAAGCGGATGATTACCGCGGACGAACCCCAATGCTGATGGCCGTACAGCGAGGGTACTTGGACGTTGTTGAGAAGCTGATGCGGAGAGGGGATTTGCTGATCAACCGACGGAACCCTGAGGAGTACAGGATGACCTACCTGGCGACAGCAGCCTCGAGGGGCCACGAAGCGATCGTCCTCCGCCTCCTTTCGTACCCGGATATCAAGACAGGCGTCATAGACAGCAGTGGCCATGGGATTCTAAAACATGCAGCTGTCGGCGGCAACGAGAATATCGTACGGAAGGTCTTGTCATGGCCCAATGTTGACGTCAACCGGCGCGGCGAGGACGACTCGACCCCGATCATGTGGGCTGCGATACACGGCCACGAGTCCATCGTCCGGCTGCTAATTGATAATGGCGCAGCCGTGGACCTGGTGACACACCAGCTACATCTCCGGCTCATGAGGTACTTCGGCGTTTCAAGCGACCCGGATAATGGCGCAGTCGACAACCGACTGCTGGGAGCAATGACTGGGCAGGTCGCAGTGCTGGTCGGCGCGTCGGCGCTCGACGCCGCGGCACACAACGGCCACGAAGGCACATTTCGATTGTTGATGTCTCAGCCGGGCGTCGAGCTTGATCGGCCGGACTTGGATGGCCGGACACCGTTCGCCAATGCGGCTCTTACAGGGAATGCGAGCATTGTCAGGATACTGTTAGAGCAGGGTGATGTGCTCAATCCTGAAGCACCTGATAGATACGGCCATACGCCCTTGATGCTTGCGGCGCGGGCTGGCGATGAGGATGTCGTCAGGGCTCTTCTACGGGACCCTCGCGTGGATAGCAACCGGAAAGATAAAAAGGGGCATTCTGCTCTGGCCCTGGCGGCGATACAGGGCTCTGAGGATCATGAGAGTGTGGTGAGGCTACTGTTAAAAGCGGTTCGATCCCGACAGGAGGTTGAAGAAGCCCAGGCAGCGACCGAGAAAGCAAGCATGCGTGCGCTTCTGAGTTCATACCTGCAGATAAATCCTGAGAAGGTCAACGAACGACACAGTTTAGATTAAGAATCAACCTTTCTCTTCTTTCCTCATCAAGCGAGCAATCGGACTATTCGCCTCGACAGACTATCCCTCCTTATGCCCAACACAGAGGAAACCGCGCATCTACACAGGTAGCCGAGCTCACATCTTCACTACTGAGGAAGATACAGGCCTCTCGGGGAGAAGTGGGGCGTATCATGACACTCCTCCTTGGTGGTTAAGCGGAGACACTATCCATCATGGTATGCTCACGCATTTCTCAATCATGAATTTCTTTGCGATAATGGCACGGTGTCAAGCTCGCCTAATTCCTGTGCTGGATATCCTGCCATTGTTCATTCTTTTTGACAGTCCGTAACATTGTGAATACCGGGACCGTAAAACTGGTGGATTTTGGCTAAACTGGGAGGAATGAGGAAAGATCTACACACGGCGGCCGAGGCGGTGAGGTGCCCACTAAATCAGAGGCAGGGAGTCCAACAACACTGATCAAGTATAGACACCTTCGGTAAGCACACATGGCATCATATCGTGGAGTTCGTGGAGTTTGGCAAAGGCGGGGTGAAGTGGGTATCGGATGGAATTGCAGTGTACGCCATGTGGCACTAGAGAAAGGGAAATAGACTATCTACTACTGGAATAGGAACAAATCGGCAAGCCCTTTACCCTTCCCCTTGCAACCTTATATCGGCAAATGTCCTGTGCTGGATGTGTGCGTTCGCTTAAACGGATTTATCAAAGCAGCTAAGAACGAGCCGAGACGCACATCGGGTCTATCAATAAACTCCTCAACGGCAGGAATTCCGCCGAATGAGTCGAACAACTGCCGATCATGGTTGTTTTGGGTGGATGTCACCTTTCCTGCTAATCACGTCTCCCGGGAACGTTTTCCCTTTACCCCTCTTAAACGGAGCAGTTCCGCATGCCCCGAAACCAGGAGCCAGCTCTCAGCTTCGGAAGGACCTGGCGCACGCCTGCAGATAATGACCTTTGTGCCCGTGGCTTTGCCGGAATGCGGTTGATGAGCAAGTGCAATTCTTTGACAACTCAATAGTGGTTGTTACCATTCGCAGCCGCAGCCCAGATATGTTTGAATCTGATCAGAGCAGTGTGGGCTTTGCTGGAGACTGGGCATTTTGAGATCACTTTTAATTTCTTATTAGCGGAGACTTTGTGTCATAGTGTAGGCTTGATGGGATTCCGTTATTCACATCTGATTTTTCGGCTGCAGGAGTGACAAATCTTGTATACCTGCGATGACTTGCAGCAACCATTGTAATCGCGCAGCTCAACAAGACAGTAAGGCACGCAGCTTGTGGAGCAAGGAGACCGTACATATTACGCGATCTATCAACTATACCCAACAAACATACTCCACTATAATTCGGCTCCAGCACAGTGGAGAATCATGTCAGAGCAGTACGGCATACTTAACCAATCAACATACGTGGCCACGACCCTTCGTGCCAGACAACGGGGCTTACTTGAGAGAATCGGCAGAAGGCGAGCTATTTGCCGTCGAGGGCTAGACTGTTCGGAGCCGGCCCGGCCTCTATCCAAACTTTTCCCCCATATCTAGGGAGGGTCATCGTGTGCTTGTTGCTCGTTGCACCGATTAATCATCCTTGGAGTTGTGCTACATAGCCCAGGCTTGCTAGTACCTACTGTCTTCATGAAAACGGCAGTCATTTCCGACAAACCAATCGCTTCTCAAGCATTCTTTCTCCGACTTCTTCTCGGCCGTGCAGGTCGGCCCAGTCACTGCGACAGTGTAAGCAGGCTGTCGAAGCCATCCAACGGATCGGACTCACCTTAGAACCTCATATCATTGGCTGACTAGCAATTTAGCCGTCAAGAAACAGCACCAAGGTTCAGCCATGACTAAGTCAAGTTACGGAAGTCTATGCCGGACCATTGGGAGCTACCCGAAAGCCTGGGTTTGTGACAGCCAGAATCTGTTAACCGATTTCAAACCACTATGCGCTTCACCGAAGCCCATGGTTTTGTCAAATGTTTGAGGTCTGCCATGTCTGTGGCATGATAGGCTAGCGATGACTTTCTATGGTGTTTGATTAGTAGTCTGATGGACCAGCGATTGATCTTGCATTCGGAAGCCCCATCTCACTGTCTAGCAAACCGATCTGGAGCAACTTGATCTTCTGTCATTCGATCATCGGGCGAAATGGGATATCCTCCTATCACTCTCTCGTGATGCAATCCCAGGAGCACGCTGTATTGTGCTTGGTGGGAGGCGACGTGCATGGGGGGCTCATGATCACTGCAACACTACTGCGGCCGAGCCGATCCCAGCACCACATAACATATCCACCTCTTAAAGAGCCTTTAGACTGGATGATATGAAGACAGCATCACAAGTGACCGTTTCTAGCAATAAATCGCATGCACCCGCTGTCCCCCGTCATCCAGACTGACAGTACAATTGTCCTTTCTCTAAAACACGTACCGTTCAGGGCGGCGCTGATCCACGGGTTGATAAGAGACACCCCGGTATCGGCCGCTTGCGTCGGCTGCAGCAATCGGAGAAAATTCTAGATTTTCCCATCATTGTGACGTTTCCGCCACAGGCACCCGACCCCAGAAATTCAACGCCAAGAGATTCTTCGGCTCCGAACGTGAGGCGTCAAAAGTAGGAGTATGTGCTTTACTCGGCTATTGTGCGTTTAGTAATCACCTTGTTGCAAGTATATATACCTTATAGTAGCGTTCTACGAAGGCCTGTTATGGAATTTAGAAGTATTTGTGGGTACAACCTTTCCCCCATCTATGGCGTTTTGCACTCTACAGGTAAGCTATCTTTGCAAGGGGCTCTTGCTGACCGGAGCGGTTGCTAATGGTACACCACCCCTGGTAGTTCTTGTGACCTACATCGAACGAGCCAACGACTATAATTATTTCAATTCTCGTCTTGTACGATGGTCCGCCCTCACGACACACTTGGACCAATAGAGCACGCCGTGCGCGACTCGATGCTTACGGCTCTTACGCAGCTGGCTGCATCCAGCCTGGGCTATGGGCGCACCTTTACCGCATTAGCTAACGGTGATACATCGGTTGTTGTTGCGGAAGGGACGACATCGTGCTCCACATCTGAGGAAGGGGAACTCAACACCGCAAGTCTCATTGGTGTTCTGGTCTCCAGCTTAGAGAGAGGACGAGGTGGGGACACAAAAGCACCTAGTCGGACCAGACCGCACGTCATCTTAGACATAGGGGAGCACGAAGTGAGCTTTGAGAGTCATCCACTTGTCCAACGATCGCAGGCTCGCTTCTACGCAGATGTCCCTATATGTGACCTCTCCGGGATTCAAATCGGTACCTTCGGCGTGGTCAGCAGGAGCCCTCGCTCCTCGTTCCCAGACAATGACCTCGCAGTCTTGGACCAGACTTCTAGGATTATTGCGGAGCATCTGCATACCATTTCGGCGCGCAAGGAGAGCTTACGAATGAAGAAGCAGCTCCACGGGCTAACATCTTTAGCCACCGAGCGGAGTGGGTTCCCTGGCGCTGCATCAGTTTACGCTAAGGCGTGCACACTACTCCAGGCCAGCATGAACGTTGACGGAGTGATTCTGATGGATGCACCTCGCCTTCATTCGCAAAGCGATTTTACAAGGTGCCTATGACACGCACTGGAACCGGAGCGTACGAACTAACCTGTTCTTAGGTCGTCTTGCACTAGCTTCTGCCAAATGGGAGGGCAATGCGACTGCGCGGATTCCAGACGCCGCTCATCATCGAAACTCCGCGGTCTCTTGGGCTCTGCGATCTCCGAGGAGTACTCCACAAAGGCTTTGGAAGGGGAACCCCCTACGCTAGACGAAAACCTGATCCTGAACTTGCTCCAGATGTTTCCCCATGGCCAAATATTCAATGCAGGCCAGCCTATGGATACACGCAATACAGTCCATCAGACCGTAGCTAGAGAACTCTTCCGAGCGTTCCCTGATGCAGCGTCGCTCATGTTTGTCCCACTTCAGGATGATGGTATGTCTGACTGGCTCGCTGCGACGATCGTCTGGGATTGTGACCGTCCACTGGGTGATGACGACCTCGGTTACCTGAAAGTACTCGGGGATATAATCACCTGCTGGGTCGCTCGGATTGAGGGAAGCTCCCTCAAGAAATGCAAATCGGATTTCTTATCATCAATAAGCCATGAGATGCGGTCGCCGCTTCACGGAATGCTGGGCAACTGTGAGTTGTTACAGTCTACTGATCTCAGCCCCACTCAGAGGGATATGGTTACAATGGTCGAGACCTGCGCAAAGACGCTGCTCGATACAATACACTGCCTGTAAGACCTACTCTTCGGGATCAATAGGGATGGGTAGCTAACGACCTTACATGAAACAGGCTCGACTTTAACAAGATTAGCACTCTCTCGCAGACGCAAAAGCGGTGCAGTAATATGGCCGCGGATCTCTGGGATGTGGCGACGGAATTCGATCTCAGTTCCCTTGTGGAAGATGTGACAAACGTCGTGCTTGCCGGGCACCGACACCTCAACGAGGCATTTAAGAACTCTGGATGCACCTGGCCGGTACAGGATGGCGTGGGTTCAGTGGAAGTGGGCCCGGGGAGGAAGCCGGATGATTTTGCTGTCGTGATTCGGGCTGAGAACCAGATTGATTGGAGGATACACTCTATCTCTGGCGCTTGGAGTCGGATCATCAAGAACATCGTCGGCAACGCGTTGAAATTTACTAACTCTGGGGTGATTGAGATAGCTCTCGACCGGAAACAACAGAAACGCCACGGGCGGACGACCGACTTTGCACACCTGACAATAACGGACTCTGGCTGCGGAATTGCTCAAGATTATCTTGAGAACCAACTCTTCACTCCCTTTTCCCAAGGGTCTGTCCTCACTGAAGGGGTTGGACTCGGTATGAGTATCACAAACCGGCTTGTGAAACATCTCGGGGGCTACACCAAGGTGGAGAGCCACCTGGGAGTTGGGACACGGGTTGACGTCCACATTCCGGTCGACTTCGTGCAGGAGAAGTCTGTAACCACGCGGCCTCCGGATACGAGAATCCGTCCGGAGAAACCACTACGCGTAGTCATGGTTGGGATGAACCCTGATTTGAAGGGGGGCGAGATGGGCCAAGGCCTAAGCACTGACGCAAAACGCAGACTCGCCCTCGCAACCTCTATTAGCAGCCACCTTTCTCGCCATGCGGACCACCAACTCTCCTTTGCTGAGCCCTCAAACTGTGGTGGTGGTGATGGTGGTGACATCGCAGTAATAGAGGAACCGACATGGAAAGCAACACCAGGAATTGACTTGCGGAAGTCCCGATTCCGTTCGGTCATTGTCATTGGGGGATTTGAACTCGCTTCTCCGCGGCACCTCGTTGTCGACGGTGTCGACGTATTCCACATTCCACAACCGTACGCCACCCTATCATGATTTCTTCCAGACACGTACTAAAGGAATCTAGCCTCGGCCCCAAGAGATTTCTCCACACCTTGCGAGAAATCACGGATTTACAGAGCTCTACGACTGCTGGAGATAATCGTCTGGCCGCGCACCCTATAGCCGTTCTGCCGGCGCGGCCACGGTCGACAGTCGAGGACTCTGATAAAGCTGAGAGCTCCGACTCTCCACCAGCGGTCAAGGCACGCGCACCGAACGATGCGCGGTTCGTTCCCCGAGCCCCGGCAGAGGCGGCTATATGCGTACTGGCTGTGGATGATAATGAGATCAACCTCAAGGTATGCATTCTATATCCAGCGGAAGGTTACCACACGAAATCAAGTTATTGATCCGCGCAGGTTCTTTCTATGTTTCTGAAAAAGATCGGATGTACCTTCGAGACTGCATCTGATGGCCTTGTTGCATTAGATAAATACAAGCAGGCAACCAGAAAGTTCGACTACGTACTGATGGGTATGCTCCCCGCGCGCTATTGCAAGCAACAACAGCCCTAACCTGCTCAGACTTGTGCATGCCGAGGATGGACGGAATCGCGGCAGCGAGCGAAATCCGACGGTACGAGGAGGAGCATGGCCTCCCCCGCACCGCCATTTTGGCGTTGACCGGCGTAGCCTCCTCCGAATTGCAGGATCAGGCTTTCGCGGCAGGTATGGACGACTACCTGCTCAAACCCCTTACCCTTAACGACTTGAAGCGGATTATGAAGGCATGAGGCCTCCGGGCTTTTTTTTCTTTTTTTTCTCTTTTCTTTTGCGGTTCTCATGGTTTTGCTTGTTTAACGACTACATCGACTACATCCTTGCAAAGGCTAGTATAAAGAGCTTCTCTTAAAACTTGTTGTTTAACCGAGCGTCCACTGCAAATTAGCTTAGGCCTTGAAATGATTGACAGTGTAAATAAAGGTCCCTGTTGTGACTTCGTACTATTGTACGCATTTCCCTCCGTATTGGTAGAATATGCCTACTATAATGTGCCCCAGACTTAATTACCAGCCTACAGCCAGGTCCAAGGTCATTCCTGAAGAAAATCTACATTGAGATTCATTACTAGCAATAACGGCTCAAAATTGAATTGCAACATGTGGCAAAGTAGCCGGAGTGTCCCACGTTCCCCGTTCTCCTTCGGTTGGTTGTTGGGGAATGAGTCCTCTGCTCAACCACTAACGCCGATCAGCAGCTGTAGCTTAAATTCTCACAGCCGCAGATTTCATTTAAACCGATCGAAAAATGAGAAATTGTAGGAGCTCTCCGCGGCTTGTAACCACGAAGCTCGAACAAGACTGAAAAGGAAATCCAGTGATGAGTTAATAAAGGGGCAGTACGATAACCCAGCTTACCGGAAAACGACCGCGACCAGTGCTCTGTCCGACGCGCAAAACGAAAAAGAAAAAAAAAAGGGGGGTCTACATACATCTCAATAGTACGGGATAATCTGTCCAGACAGGTGTGCAAAGTGATTCATGACATCGTCGAGGGGGAAGGTGATTTATCGTCTATTCGAAACCAGCACCTATGTACATAAAACGTGTTGCGATACAAACCACATCCACCACAGATCGATGAACATGCTCTCAACAGCCTGAATCCCAGCCACACCACACCACACCACACCACACCATTGCAGAAGCCCTCTTCACTCACAGAAGAGCAGAGCTGTTCAGTAATACTCGGGCAGATCCCCAAAGCTAGGGATCGTATCGCCACACTTGAACTTCGGGCTGTACGCTTTCGCAGGCATGTACCCGTTCTTCCACGCGGTGCGGTAACTCCACTGCGCCGCCGACTCGGTCGCCCACGTCCAGTAGAACCAGCCCATGGCGGTCTCGAAGGCGGACATCTGCGCTTCCGCGTACGTCTGCAGAAAGGTCTTGTACCCATCGGAATATCCCACGGGGGAGGTGTTGGCCAGGGTGCAGGAGCAGGTGCCGTCCGAGGCGGTGGGGCAGTACATCGTGTCGCCGGTGGAGGCGAGGGTGCCCTCCCACCGGTTACCGTTGCCGACGTTGTTGACGTACTGCGCGCAGTCGGTGTCGGCCTGGGACCATTCGCCGCAGATGGTCGGGCCCCATCTGTTTTCCATGGCAACATTAGCTTTTATCCCCATATCTCCAGGAGGGGTAAAGGGTGAGAGGCACGTACCCGGAACTCGTAACATTAATCGCCTGGATCATACTATACCAGCTCTCGCAGATCAACTCAACGCGCCGTGTGTGGTTCAGCACGATCTCCCCCGTATTAAAGACGGTGTACTGATGCGTATCGAGCATCATATTGTCCGGCCGTGTCTTGAGCATGCTGTCCCACTTGGCCAGATTCAAGAACCCGTCGTGCACCGTCACCCACGCCTTGATCCCGTTCTTCTGGACGAGCTCCGTCGCCTGCGTCGTCCAGTTCAGCACATCCGCCACGGGCAGCGACAGCATGAGCGGTTCGTTGGCCAGCCCGTAGATGGTGACGACGTTCTTGTACCGGTCCTGGGCGAAGAACTGCGACAGCTGGTCGTGCATGTCGAGCGACCGCTGGCGGTTCAGGGCGCCATCCGTCCCGTTCAACCACCCGATCTTGCCCTGGTGGCCGCTGTGGTTCCACCCGTTCTGACTTCCCGGAATCCCGTGCGGGTCGAGGTTCACGCGCAGCCCGTACTTGCGACAGTACTCGATCGCGCGCAGCAGGTACCGCCAGGCGATCTTGGGGACGTAGGGGTCGCCGTCGTAGGTGCGCACCGCCCAGTAGGAGAATTGCATGCGGACGTGGTCGAGCCCCGCGTCGCGGATGTCGATGAAGTCTTGCTCGGTGATGAAGGTGGCGTAGTGTTTTTCGATGGTGGTGTTGGCGTCGCTACCCAGGCGCTCGCAGAGGGTCCACTCGTCGATGATGCCTTCGCTCGAGGAGTACGATTGGAAGAGCGAGGGAACGATGAAGGGCTCGATGGAGAGCCAGCCTCCGAGATTGACTCCGCGGATGGGCTGCGAGCCGTAGGGGAATGCCTCGTTCAAGGGTGGGACGTTCTTGTTCGCTTGGGCGGAATCATCCCAGGTCGAATTCAGTCCCATGATCGATAATCCTCCCACGGTCGCATTGGTGAAAGTGACGTTGAAGCCCGCTGTATCGTACCAGGTGAACGGATCAAGGTATGTTCCTCGAGCGTAGGCCTAGCATACAAGTCAGCTATCACAGCCTTGATCCTCCGTCCACGCAAACCTACCGGTATGCTATCACGACTGATCCCATCCAGGTTAGAATTCGCGGGCTTGTCGTCATCCGAGCTTGCTGAACTCCCACCATTCTCCGCCCTCCGCGCCATGATGATCCCCACGGGGATAGCAATCGCCGCCAACACCACTAGTACCACGAAGAAGATGAACGTGCCTCTCCACTTCTTCCAGAAAGGCAAGTTCGCCACGCTACCCCGACCCGTGGACCTGGACCCACGACTCCTCTCATCCCAGTCCCCTTCCTTCCTGAGCATACCGTCCGTCGCCTCCGCAGCCTCCCCGTCTGCTCCATTCCCACCAAAGCCACCACCGCGGTGCCGCACCTCCGCCATCCCCTGCTCCAACTGTGCTCCGGACGCAACCCTGCTCTGCGCCCCGCCCCTAGGCGTATTCAACGCGATGGGCGCCAGCATAATCGGCTGCTCAGCGATAACAGGACGCTTCCGCTGCCTCTGCTCGTGCCCTTGCTCCGAGGCTTCGTCTCGCCCGTCGCGCGACCCTTCACCCAGATGACTCAAACAATCCTCATCCCCGACTGTGGAACCCAATAGCTTCGCCAAAGCATCCCCACTGAGCAACTCCTGCGCCGCGCTGTCCCGGTTCGAGTTCCCATGTCTCCCAAACGCAGCGGCCAGCCGCTCCCGCCGTCGCTGGCGCCGAGTCTCCCGGTCCGGGCGCTGGCCGCCCGGCGGGGAGGAGTTGCGTTTCCAGAACGCCAGCGACGAGGACGGGGCTCGTTCCCTTGGCTGGGACGGAATGCGCTGAGCACCCACATCCCCACCGATCGCATCATCATGCTCATCGTCACCATGATGGGCCATGGCCGCCGCGCGCTCGGACTCCATGAAGGTCATCATATCCGACAGGCCGCGGGAGCCGGCCTCTGCCTCGAATTGGTCTGCAGCGGGGACGTGCGGACGCAGCGGAATCCAGTTAGGGTTTGTCCCTTGGGGGAATTGGTGCGGTTCATATGCGTAGGTTGATCCCGACCGGTGGTGGTCTGCATTGTCTGGGTGGTCGTAATCGTGATGGTCATGGTCGTGGGAATAGAAATGGTTGTCAAATTCATGGGGACTGTAATCGTAACGTTGTGGGGAGTGGGGCGGTGCCTCCGAGTGGACATCGGAGGGAAGGCTGGGACTCAGGCTGGAGACGTAGCTGTCTTCTCCCCGGTAGCCCAGGCGCGGGGGCGGGGAGAGGGTGTAGTAGCTCGGGGTGGTGGAGTCGGGAGCCTCCGGCAGCTCGCGGCTGGGGCTGCTGGAGCGGCGGGACAGGCGATCCCGGCTGCCCGAGTGGAGAGACATCCGCACTGAGCACGGACGTTCTTGTTCTTCGGGTCTGCTCGGGGAATTAAGGCCTTGTTGAAAAAGCCAAGGGTATGCTGGAGGTGACTGTCGGGTGTGGCGGCGGATGTGGATGGAATGTGGGCTGACTGGTGGGAATGTCCCGGCAATTTGGGGGGATGAGTGGAGTGATAGGCCCGGATGTTCCGGATTGATTGTAGGGGGATTAGATTGAAAGTGGAATGGGGATTTGTGGAAGAAGGAGGGAGTGCCCTGTCAGCCCCAACGTATACGATATTGTGAATAGTTGCGAGGTACCACGGGTCACAGCTGACAGTTGTGGAGGTCAGAAATGTCTCAGTACTGTCGGTGACACAACAACAAAAAAACCTAAGGAGATACAAGAACTAGTGAAGGCATATTAATTTCAGGTAAGCTTCGGCCATGAACAGGATGGACGGGATCGCCAGGAACCGCACGGTGATTGTGAAGAAAGAAAGTTGGGGGCGTTCGGCCATCAACACAACAACCAGAAAAACAACACATCGACCAAAACAAACTGGCGCAAAACAAGCCCCGTGATTTGTCCGGCAGCCATCCTTGTGTTGATGCTGCTAGATCGGGTTAGCGCAGAGATAGCGGAATTGACCTTTCTGCATCAAGTTAGGCTGTGGCTGATCATCTTCATCAATCACGGGACCGAGACCCTTCGTACTTTAGTCATCATCGTGCCTGAGTTCTATGAATTACATTACGTCCGAAACTTGCGCATGTATAGATCTGGTCTAGATTACAGTAGTGTTACAGTAACGTCTGAAACCTTTTTATTTACCCTAAGTCAGCCGAGTCCAGCCCCCAGTAAGTTTAGCGCTCAGGCCTTAGTGTAGCGCAGGTACGGCTTCAGCTCCCGCACGTTGCCGAACTTCTTCTTGGCGTCCTCCGTCGACACCGAGGGGGGCACAATCACATCGTCGCCCACGTTCCAGTCAATCGGGGTCGCGATACCCTTCTTGTCCGCCGTCTGCAGCGAGTCGATCACGCGCAGCACCTCCGCCGAGTTGCGGCCCGTCGACGCCGGGTACGACATGATCAGCCGGATGGTCTTGGCCGGGTCGATGATGAAGACCGACCGGATCGTGAACGGAATTCCCTTCTCGGCGATGTTGTCCAGGTCGCGCTGGTCGATCATGTCGTACAGGAAGGCCACCTTGCGGTCGGCGTCGGCGATCACGGGGAACTGCACCTGGGTGTTGGCCAACTCGTTGATGTCGTCGATCCACTGGTCGTGGGAGCTGAGGTCGTTTGCGCTCTAGGGAGTGAGGTGGATGGTTAGCTTGGTCATTTTAATAGTCATTGTGACCAAAAATGGGGGTGGAAACGCACCAGGCCGATCATCTTGACATCTCTCTTCTCAAACTCGTCCTTCATCTTGGCGAAGGCGCCCAGCTCGGTGGTACACACGGGAGTGAAATCGGCCGGGTGCGAGAACAGGATGGCCCAGCTATTGCCAATGAACTCGTGGAAGTCAAGCTCGCCATGGGTGGTCTGCGCCTTGAAGTTGGGGGCTGCAAACGGTCAGAGTAAGTCAATTGGAAGATCTTATGGCGAGGGGGGTTTTTTACCCTTAGATCCGAGGCGAAGACGGGGTTGCTCCTGGGGAATGGTGGTGAGGAAGCGGCGGGGGAGGGGCTGCACGCGGGGCTGCATGCGAGGGAGCTGGCTGGAAAGCGACAGACGAGGGAGAGGGGTGGCCCGGGGAAGAGCCGTGAGAGCACGGAAGCTAGTGCGGGAGATGATGGACGCCATTGTGATGTGGATTTGAAGCAATTGGCAATCGTGAGAAGAAGGTGAAGAAGTTCAATTGAACTCCAGGGATCCTGTTTTCGTCACTCTGCCATTGCATCAGCGGGGATATGCACTAGCCCGTTTGAGGTGCTAGCACCTCAGGCAGCAACTCCTCGGCTGTTCGCCTGAGGCATCCAACACCCTGCTTACTAGACCGCATCACTAACTGGCAGGGACTCAGTCGATCATCGATTCTAAGACGTGAGTCTTGGTTGTCTTCTTCGCTATATATGTACATCGAAAGGCAAAATTCCCGTACACAAACCACCCGTAGCCAGCATCTGGTATCTAATCCACCTCACCCCGACCGCCCGTCTGCCAGCTGACCCTTGATGATGCTAATGACTATAGCTACTGATGTCCCCTTCACCCACTTTGGTCTGGCGCAAACTTGGCTCTCACGCCACTTTTGAATTCTTTTGAGATTCCAGCCCGAAGTCTATCGCCTCCCATTCTCACTCTCACGCTTGGTTCCTCGCTTGAATGCTTTGGTCAGCACGTGGCACTCGCCACTACTATACCGGTACTGGAAACTCTCATTCCTATGAGACAGACCACCCGACACAACTCGAGTGTAGACAGCCCTCCATCTGAGTAGACCAAAGGTAAGTTGGAGAAGTTATCCTAGTCCTCTTCCTCCTCGGGCATGGCATGCGACGGGAACGCGAGCTCCGACAACTCGCGGAACAACTCCGCAAGTCACCTCACTTTGACAACAAATCACCTTTCGCTTGCCCCACAACGTCTAGGCAACTCGTTGTCAACAAAGGCTACGAACTATGAGCTGGCGATTCAGCTCAGCTCGACTACTTGAGCCTCCATTGGTCTTAGCTTTGACGGCCCAGTGCCAGAGCCTCGGGATTGACGTCCGGGAGCCATGAACTAGCGTTGACGGCAATACCCCGGGCGCTTAAACCAACCTTAGGACATCTTCAAGAGACAGCGTCCGAGCGCACCATGAATCCTTCTTCCCAATATTCTATGAAATGGCGGTAAGCAGATGTCTGTGTTATAGACTTTTGAGTTTCCGTACTATTTATATCTTCGAACTGTTACAATGTCATTAAAGCTAGCAGGTGGTTCCGTTCCGAGGCTGTCGGAAATACCTTTGACCCAGCCGAGACATGAACGATATATAGTGTGAACCGATCATGAGATCACAAGCGTGGTGACACTGGACCACTAACAGGACCTTCAGTTCTTCCGGCAGTGAACCCGGAATCCAAGCTGAGTGTTGTGTGTCTCGCTGAGGCCCATGATCAGTAGCTGATACATGAGGCCTCGCTAGGTTAACATCACCTATCACCATGTTACCTGCTGACACCTCAGGCACCGGGCATGGCAATTCCTTATCGGAACATGGATGGAAGCTTATCAGCATTGGGGATCTTCCCGCTTTCCTTTCAAATTATTAGGACACGATACACTTGTCGCAAAGCCGTTCTATGATCACATTTACCCGAAATCGAGTCAGGAAGAGCAGTCAACAACGAAGGCCTGCCACCAAATATCTTCAGACTTTTGTCCCACCCGCCCACTGAGATTCAGCCCTAAACTGATATGGTTATCTGATTCAATTTCATTTCCCTTTCGCCCTCGCCTGCCGATGTTGGTCGCGACATGGCAACTACTTGGTCGCATTCCTCGTCCACTGTAACTAATAATTCTAGTTACGAGAACTAATCATCCAGAATCGTGAGTTTCCTGATGATCGCATGTTAGGAAAGAGAACAAGTATTTACTGACAGGTGTCAAGTACAAACAGCCAACCAACGGGTGGGAGGCTGATAGTATTTCTGTCTTGTATCGATAAGGCTGGGGTTGTAGGACTGTTCGGGGTGAACCTATTGTTGAATGCTTGGAACCAGTGATAAAGCTGCTTACGCAGCAGGGCTAGGGATTACTATAGGCGCTTTGGAGCTGCTGTACCTTATCCTCGACCCCGATAAGTGTGTCCCATCATTCATTAGTGACTCAACATCAGTCAAACAACGAAAAGTATACCATAAAATGCTCACATCACATTCCTCTCCATGAAATCACAACGAAGCGGCAATTAGCCTCTTATATCCCTCGACCGCATCCTCCAACTCCCGCACGCCGATCGCCTCCTTCTCCCCATGCGTGACTTCGAACCGCCCCGGCCCGTACAAATATCGCTTCACCTTCCGTGTGGTCTCATGATCATGGATCTCCAAGGAAAACGCATCCGTCCCATAATTCACCGCAATGACCTCGAACCCCTCGACATCCGTCTCGAAAAATTGCGGTGGCGCCCCGACCGTCCCATTTCCACTCCCAATGCCAAAGTCCAAATAAACCCTCCCGTCACCGCCCGAGAACACATCCACCGCACTCTGAATAATCCGCCTGGTCTCCTCCGGACTTCCCGCCGCCAACCGCACCGAGACCGCGGCCTCAGCATGCGCCGGTACAACATTGGCCGCCTCACCTCCGCTGATAGTCCCGATATTCAAGGTGGAGTTACCCAGGACTTCACCCCACAGTAACCCCCCTTCCTCCGGGGCAATAAACTGCAGGGAATTGATATGTTCGAGAACAGGCAAGATGGAGAGGATAGCGCTCTCCCCGAGCCAGGGATAACTCGAGTGCGCGGGCTTCCCGCGCGCGACGACCTTGAACCCCAGCGTGCCCTTGTGGCCCTTCACGAGATCTCCATTCGTGGGCTCGCCGAAAATCACGGTGTGGAAGCTCGACGGCGTGGGATTGAGCTCCGAGGCGGAGAAGTGCTTCATCCCCACGCCGGACTTCTCCTCGCCGACATCCAGTAAAATACCTACGGATGCCGTCGGGTCTGTGGCTAGAGTGTCGAGGACGGCGAAGGTCAGGGCTGCGACACTGGCCTTTGCGTCTACGGTGCCGCGGCCGGCGATGAGAAGGTCCTTTCGGTTGAATTTCCCGGTATGCGGGTTCGGGGCTGGGGGGTGAAGGGAGTAAGGAATGAAGGGTGGCACGGTGTCGATGTGGCTTGTTAATAGGATATCGGGGAAGCGGTTGTCTCCTGCGTAGGCGTAGATGTTGAAGCGCTCCTTGGTGGTATCCGTCTTTGGGGTTACGACTTGCTTCTCGACGGTGAGGTTCTGGGAGGAAAGGAAGTCGATGATGAAGTCGCCGACTTCTTGCTCATTTTCAGAGATGGATTCGATGGTCACGATATCGCGGTGAAAGGCGAGGAGAGGCGAGGAGGTGATTATTTGGTCGAGTGCTGACTCGATGCTGGGATTGACTATTGTATTGTGGGAGAGGGGGTCGGCGAGTGGTTGCTGTATTGAAGCGAGAGCCAGCCTCGCTAAAGCAGCGATGTTGATAAACTCGAATGTCTTCATTGGCGCCTTGATCTTTAATAATGTCACCCAGGGAGGATATCTAATCCTGGGGGCGTGGGGTGTATATCAATTCTCGGGCTTCGGTGAGTCCGTGAGGGGAAGCTGATGAATGTAGATTAGGGCATTTCTCCCCGCAATGGCGTGCCGTATCAACATCCGACATCATATCTAGTCCGACTGTCCAAGAGACTGCCGTCCTGCTATTCCTTATCTACACGCCACTCTAACAATTTTCACGTCACAGGCCAATCCGTTCATTTCGCTACAGGCACGCCAAGCCCCTCCCCTCACCCCTCAACGGAACTCAATATCCTCCAGCACCGCTTGATTCTCCTTCGCCGCCGCCCGCCGAACCCTCTTCAACCTCCTGGTATCGACATCCACCTTCCACGTACGCCCCCAGGTAATCAGATTCATAATGATCGCCATCCCCACGAACCCCATGGCAATACCAAACGAGGTGGTATAGCGCGGCGCATACCGAGAATTGAACAGCTGCGATCCCACCGCGCCTCCGATCTGCCCATAGCTGTTGGCGAAGGCAATCGCAAATGCCGAGCCGGTGGCCCCCTGCGTCGTCTGGACTCGCCAAGGCCACATCATCACGTACCTGCAGTTTCCATCAGCCAAGCGCGAATAATCTCTGAAGGGGTGTGCTTACCAAGCGGTGGAAAATCCGCCGGCAATTATCGTAGCGGCATAGACACCCCCGCTGTTCGGAAATGCATAGAGCACGCCATAGCACGCCTCAATGACTATCATGAAGGCGAGCGGGATGGCCGGTTGGGGGATCCTTCCGGTGTCGGCGAAGACCCCGAAGGCTAGGGTCAGGATCACCGCGAACACGGCGGAGGGGATGTTGAGGAGGAGGGATTCGCTCATCGAGCTTGAAATTTGGTCAGCACTTCGGTTCGAAATCTGACTCGGGGGCTTACTCACGTAAAGCCGAGATTGGCGATTACAGTAGGCTGATAGAATGTGAGACCGGTAGTTCCGACGGTAAAGAATGCCCAACAAAGTAGGAATAGCCAGATTCTCTCGTTTCGCAGAGTGGTGATCAGCTCTCGAAGGTTGAAGTTGGATTCTTGCGCCCGGGGAGAGTTGCGGGGGAGACGAGCTTGGATGAAGGCTTGTTCCTTTTCGGAGAGCCAAGATGATGTAGAAGGAACTGGTGGAGTCGGTCAGCGGTGTCTGGCTTAATATGAATGAGAATGCATACAATCTGGCAGGAAAAAATATGTGAGAACGCCCAGAACAATTGTGATGATCCCCTCTGTCAAAATCAACCTAGTAGCAAGGTTAGCTTTGAGGACGTCGATCCATGCATGGGTCTGCTGAACGCACCATTTCCACCCCGACAACCCCCCGGTAGTCACACCGTTGAAGGCAAAGGCAAGCACACCACTTATGACCGTGCTGAAATTTCCAAGCAGCGTAACCAGCACAATCCGGGGAGCTATCTCATCCGGTCGGTACCAGTAACACAACTGGATCAGCATCCCCGGCCAAAGACCGGCTTCGAATAGACCCAAGAAGAAGCGGACAGCATAGAGACCTTGTCGATTCTTGACTGCTGCATGGCAACAGAGAACGATTCCCCATGAGACCTGGTTATGTTAGACGTAAGACATATCTGGTGGGCGGATGACATTTACCTGAATCCGAGCTTGCCAGACGGAGGGTTTGACTCCCTTGATCAGTAGATTGGACGGCGCTTCGGCGATAATGTAGGGGATCTTGACACACATCAGTCTGCATCGCAGCTATTTATGACAAAGATGATTCTCACATAATACATTGCTGTCACCAAGTTATACTGGTCCTTCGTCATTCCAAGCTCAGTCAAGATGTTGTGAGAAGTTCCTTTGTCCATAGTGAGTGCGTAAGAGACCTAAAACAGCTCTCGTCAGAGATTCCCCTTCATAGCTATCCGCGGGATGGGAGGTCTCACGTTTGTGAAGTCGACACTTTTCAGCATATAGATAACAGCGAGAAGCGGGATCAAATGCCAATCCACGCGTCGCAGGAGCTTCTTCTCATCGTCCGCACTCAGTGCGGCGCGTTCGCGCATTAACTCGGCATCATAGCCCGGGATAGTCTCCCCCTTGTCAGGAATTGTGATGTCCGCATTGCGGTCGACCTGGTGCACATAACCTCTCCCAGGGATGGGTTTCTCGTCTATGAAGACTGTTTTAGAGTCTTCACTGCCAGCGGCCAGTGCCGGTTGGACGTGTTGATCGTCTGAAGCATCCGACAACATGGTCGCTCGGTGATGTTTCGAGTTCCTGGGGTTTTGAACTGACTGCTCCTGTCATTTGGGCGCATGTAGCTCGGCTGGTGTATTCACTTATATTTTGTGGCATTCCGATGCGGGGATTGAGGAATGTTACTATCCGCGGCTTTGATGGCGCAAGAACGTCCCCGCCGACTTCGGGCATGATAGTGTACAGCGCATACCCTTCCTCGGCTACCTGATCAAATTGCCGAGATAACTTTGCATTAGTTTGAAGTCTTTCACTGTCAGCTGCGTGCACAAGTATAACGGTAGCGAATGGTGTGATTGCAATTTGTGATAACATCAGCAAGTCCACGGGTGTTTTGGGCCCGCATTGAAAGTGCGATAATGACGGGATGCCGAGACAATGCAGCAGGGGAGAATGATTACCAATCTGAGGAAGGCTTTGGGGTGAGAGATAACAACAGGCACTGCTCCAGCCAATTTTCCTCTGAGCATATGATGTAATTCGCTATGGTACCGAGAACATTTCTGGGTAACAGCTGAAATATCAGACTGTCGTCGATCTCTTCACTGTGACAATTACCCAATGCTGATCCGACCACCGGGCGCGTTGACATGCAAAGTGTATCCTGCGGGGATCTTTGTCCACAAGAATTAACTGAAGGCTGTCAACAAATCTTGGAACACCCACTCCGAAGGCCAGCTTGGTGCTTGCTTCCATAAGATAACTCTGTGCCAATTCGAAATGGCAAGGGCCTTGAGATAAACTCATTGCTAAGACCCGAGTATTTATTACTTCATAGTGCGATGGAACTCCAGTTGGAAGGATTGCGGCCGTGGCCGGGGGGATAATTGATATTGTGGAGGAAGAGTACGCAGTGTCGCAGCGCTCATCCTGCCACAAAACTGCAAGCAAAAATGATCATATAGCAGCGGAATTCGAAATAGCTTCTGACCATGACAGAATATATAAGCAAATAAGGATTGAGAAGAGCATAACGATCGACCGACATCACAAGTGCGGAAGGCGTGTTGGTGCCTGAGGCATTCTGACTGTCCTGCTCAAAAAGTGACTCAGGCATGACTTGTGGAAGAGTCTGGTGCCTATACTGATAGTAGAGACAGGCGCTCGTATCTTTCGCTTGCATATTTGCAAAAGAACTATTGGCTAATTGACTTCAAGCGTACGACAAGAACCGTAAACAAAGCATGATACACGCTGAAGGAGTGGCGGGGAGTTCAGCTGTCGCTACAACTTAAATAGGACTAGTTTGCTCCAACTCCTATAGTTCTCTGCACCAGGGCGGTAAAAGGTTATGTCTAATCAAAGTAGATAGTCTTGTCGAGTAGATTGACTTTGATAATTCCACCCGCGATTTTACCCAGAACTACTTGACAGCGAATTCCAATAATACCCTTTATGGGTAGCCTTGGTGTGCGAGAGACTAACAGAAGCCCACCCCTCGCAGGTGGCTAGGATCCTAACAACATTTCCGACGGGACTACACAGTCTTTACCAGCGTATGTTGAGCGAGATCCCGAGTTCGGAGAACGCACTGATCTACCGGCAGATCTTCGCTACTGTACTGTCTACCGGCCTCTGACAATACAAGAACTGCCGGTCCCCGCCAGTCCCGTCCCCCCTCCCTTGAGCAGCACCTCGGTGAGGATGATGACAAAGTCAAGAAGACTATTGAGCTCTGTGGCTCTTACAAATTTCAGCGTCTTCAACCTGCTCCCTCAGCATAGGGCTAAAGATCGCGCAAGTGCAAGTTATCCTTTATCACGAGTTGAATACGCACTCTCGCTTCCAGATGATGACTGGATCACCTATAGGGGACAAAAGCTACTCTGGTTGCCTCCGAAATACCGCTCACCAATCTGGGACGCCGCTTGTGGAAGAACCATGGCCATCGCCTGTCCACTAGGCGGTCTCATCTTTATCACCTTTTCAGAAGACCCCTTGCTGGAGGCTCGGTTTTGAAACTCCACCTTCCGACCATTCTAGGTTAAGGCTGTCCTATGCTGAGCGTCTGCAGCCTGCCAGCTACCAGCACGTGTCGCGACGAGTCAACGCGATGGCACGACTCAACGCCCAACCAGGTGGCCGTTTTCAAGCTGCACTGCAGGAGAAAACTATATCAGTTACTATCAGGGCTGCTGAAGGTCAGAAGATCTTCATCCCCATCGCGGCCTTCATTGACAGAGACCTAAGCCAGACGGGCCTGGCGCCTCACCAGCAAAATGCGTTCAACGCGTTCAGCAATAATCTGGCGGAAATAGCTCAACGACACTTCAACGCCTATCTCAGCGGTGATCCCTTGACCACCACCTCTCTGGCTGGATCTTTAAGTAATTATGAACCGAAAGTGTTTGCCTGTGGCGGTATTAAAGCTTTTCTTTGCATGTCATGTTGCACAATAGCTGTGCCAAGAGCCAAGCTGGGGACGCGTATGAGGCGGGCAGGCATACATATTCTTTTTATAGTGTCCCGCCCGGTGTGGCAAAGGTTCTGAATGTAGTACATGCTTGCGAGACTCAAGGCAGAGAAGTTTACGGTGGGGTCCTTCGGGCCTTGTTTCTCGATTTGGCAATCTCCTTGGCGGCCCCCTCCGCGCCCGGCGAATGCACACTGTTTACTTGACATGCTCCAGCCTCGGAAATCAGTACCGTCAAGGTTGTCGAGCAGGGAACAACGACTTGCTGAAACTATTTAACCCTTGTTCGCAACTGGCTGGGTACGAGCAAAGGTTTCAAACATCCCTCTCTACTTGAGAACAGAATACTTAGCGACAATGACCAGCGTGAACCCCACCATTTCCCGCATCGAGAGCTCGGATCTCCCATTCCTAGCGGAATTCATCCACTCCGCCAAGCTTTCTCTAAGCATCAATCGTCTTCTCTATCAGCCATGGCCCAATGAGACCGTCCAGAGAAAGCAGTACACTGGAGCTGTAGAAGGTGCATTTGCCGACGCGTCGATGGAATGTTTCAAGGCGACGACTGAAGGTGACTTGAACGCCATCATCGGCTATATGGTCCTGGCCAAGAAGACAGCCACCAAACAAGACCCATTAGCACCGGTCCCGGCCAAGTCCGTACCTCCAGATAATCTTCCCAGTGCCCCAGAGGGAATGAACCCGGGTGTCCTGGCTGAAGTATCCGCGGCGAATGTCGAGGTAGGCAGGGCTACGGAGAACATTGACCGTTACGGTAAGGGGTTCCCAACACCTATCCGCTGTACCACCAATGCCCTTTTGCTAATATCCGGGGCTTTTCTTCGCTAGAATTGATTTATATGTGTGTTGAGCCATCCTATCAGCGACAAGGAGTGGGCTCCCGCTTGCTCCAGCTTGGATTCGACCGGGCGAGAGCAGAGAGTCTCCCGCTTGCTGTCACTGCGGAGGCACCTGCATATGGCTTTTTCGAGACCCTGGGTTTCAGAGAGACCAAGCACGTCGATATCGATTTACGCAAATACGCATCAGCAAATAGTGGATTTGGGATCTTTAGGCTTACGGGGATGATGTGGAGGCCTTGAATCTCGGATATCACCCAGCTGAAAGATCAGCGAGCCATGTCTATCGAACCACTGCGGGCGCGCTTGCTTGATAAAACGCACACCCTGGGGCGATGCGTATGTCGGAGAACACGAGTTGATACATAGTATAGAAGGCTTTGTTGCAGAGTGACAAGAAGAGCATAATTTGCAGAAGTACTTATTGACGGAAAAGTGCACAAGTTGTAACTGCCAAGCCGGGACAGTAATCTAAAAGACTACTCTCGCAGAACAACCGACTTTTGATGTCAAACCATCTCCACTCATCTTTGATCTGCCTGGCTATTACTTCTTTAGCCTCCGCCAGCTTGAGAGGCCGAACAGCTCGCTCTCTTGGGTCACGATAAACGCATACTCCTCTCCTAATATGGGCAAACCCGTGTTAAGAAGTAGATAATGCTCTCGACGAGGAAACTCATAGTAGGACCTCCGAGGGTGATCTGCTGACAATTCGAGACGTGTCGGCCATGTGAATGGATCGTTCAATCATCTCAAGTACTGTGCTGTCTTGGTTGGTATCATTTCGTGCAATTTCTGGCGTGGTGTCTGTGCCAAGCCTATTTTTCACATTATTAGCAAACTGAAAATAGTCTGTTATCAGGATCCACCTACATGTTTCACGATACTCAAAGGGAACCCTTAGATGGCGTGCATTGCGTTCTGTTTACTCCCGCGGCAAAAAAATATGTATGCCACCATGTTCTTACAACGAGTGACGGCCACATGGTCTGGGGGGAACAGGTCTGCGTAACCATTCAGAGCTCTCATCGCATAATCCAGAGCCACAAGACATTTCCCTTCACGTGCGAGTAAGTCGGCAAGCTCGTAAATCGTCCTTAATTCGACCTCTTTGCTCGGTCTGAAGGTCTTAAAACCAGAGAGCACTTCTCTATATATTCTTCCGGAGACAGATCTTTGCCTTCGCATTTCAATGCCCTGGCTAGACTTCTTCGTGCGAGAAGAGTCTCGATATCCATCTTAGTAGAGAGATTCTCAAATTCTTTAATGGCTTTAGAAGCCCACATCTCAGCTTCGGTGCACTTCTTAGTGCTCACCAATGTAGCGACTAGGTGGACCATGGCTCTGAGCGTGTGTTGCGTGTCTTCGCCGTAGATTCTCTTCCTGCCTTCAACTACCCTCCTTGCGAGCTTCTTTGCTTCACCGATATCACATCCTTTGAGCGCAATATTCGCAAGATTGTGGAGGAAATATAGGATGGATGCTGTCTCCCCTATCTCCGTTCTCTCCAGAGAAGCCAAGCCCTGTCGAATACAAATCTCGGCTTCGTCGATGTGGTTCAAGGACATCAGTAAAACACCCAAGTTTTCTTTGCACGTCGCAGTGTCAACGTCACTTTGCCCTTTAAACTCTAGCCAATCTTGAGGTGTTTTTCTTTAAAAGGATTCTGCCTCTCTGAATTTGCCTTGCTTTTAAGAACGATTGCCAAGTCATCCATGGTTGTTAGGATCAAGCGCTTCATGTCGTCTCGTATGTCGACCGACTCGTTTAGAATCCTTCTGTATAGCTCTTCAGCGTCTGAATACTTATACTGATCTTTCAACACTCCTCCCAAATCTCCCAATGCGTGGAGGAGTCTACTTCAATCAGATCTTTTTGACTTAACGCCGGGATAGTCCCAAGCCTTAATGACCTTTTGGAGGACCCTGTCAGCTGCTGTAACTTAACGACCCTGCTCTTTTATCGTAATGGCGAGGCACCTCAGCGCAGAAACATTCCCGTCATTCAAGCAAACATGAGCTTTAGAAAATTCAACTGCATCGTATGAAGTTTCCGGGGTGTGTTTGGGTGACTTCAAAACTGCGGTTTCGCCGGGTCTATAAACAAATAGCTCTGGCGGACAAATCGGCGAGTCCAGGAAGCCGCTATGATTCAAGAATGCGTCCACATGAGGCATCAGCCTTCTTTCAAAAGTCCAAGTAGCTGCTTCATGACGATTCGCTGTCTTAGGCGCAACATTTGCAAGAACATCTAATGCCTGCCTTGAATAAGAATCTTTCCAAAAGATAGATAGCCTCTCCCGGGCCCAGGTATGCACTACAGCGTGTATACTGAAACTACTTTGCCGCCTGTCTCACCTGGCTAAAGAATAGGAGATAAGAGGTTCAATTAGTTCTTCGACCGATAGTCCTGGCTAAATTAGCTTCATTAGCTTTAGATAGTGACTAAACCCAGGCATACCTTCAGCGGGAATATCTAGCTGCCGCCGAATCAACTGTTTCCATATACCGTAATTATTGGAAAGGGAACATGTCAGTAAGGTTGCAGCTGCTTGTGGATTTCTTTTGCTGTCGTTAATCTCGCTGAAAGATATTTCCCATGTGGTGAACGCAGTCGTATTGTACTTCCAGTCTTCTCCAGACGGTCGTATAAACATGACCTCCTTGAAATTGCTCCGATAGTTTTGAAGGTACTGGTGTAAATCTACTGGCATTGTCCGCAAATAAGCCTGAGCTTGAGCAATCGCCAGTGGAAAGATTTCCATATCCTTCACAATAACCTGGGCCACATTGAGCTCAGTTGCATTGTAACTGTCTTTTTCCGAGTTACCGAGTAGTAGTGAGAGCGCTGCCTCTTCGTCAAGGACATCTGACTCTATCGAGTACCGAACGAGGCTCTTGCACTCTGATCTGCGACTGGTGATTATTGTTCGTCCATTCTTGCTTCGGAGAAGATACTTTTTGATCTTGAATCCCTCAATCTAATCATAATTATCAAAGATCATTAACCACCGACCAATAAAAGAATCCCCTAGCCAAGTTTTAAATGCCCTGACAAGCCGTGGAGCTGCTTGTGACTCCCTCGGGACGATCCAATTTTCATCCACAAGACCGGAGATACCGAGAAAGTTGGCGGCTTCCACTTGGGTCTTGGATGATCGAAGATGTTCAAGAGCTCGCTGAGTTTCATCGATGAGACATGAAATACACAGTTGTTCAATTCTGGCATCGATTATAAAAATGCGTGAGTAGAATTCAGTATGGTTGCACGCGTACTCGAGCGCGAGCTCAGACTTTCCGATCCCCCCTGTTCCGTATAGTAACAGGGATCGCTGGCGGTTCTCGACACTGGTAGCGAGATAGCGATGGATGTCAGCCAGGTCTTTCTCCCGGCCGGCCTACGAAATTCGGGTTTCGATCGATATCATTCTTCAGTTTCATTCTATATTCTTCGCCGGTGTGCGCTGGAGGTGTCAAAAAAGGGCCACAAAACCGGTGATACTTGGTTCAGAGTTCACTCATACCAGAATCGCGCAGTGCTTCATAGCTTGCTTAATTTGACCACTATGTTTGATATTTATTTCCGGTTATATTTACATAATAATCCTAAGCTTTCTGGCTGGCATATTTAGTTCTCTAATCGTAGTGATGGTGTTTGTCTATGGGACGCAGCTGGCATTTGCTCTCAGGACGGTGAAGGATCTTCGGCGAGCAAGGCGAGCAAGAGATACTGAGCGGACAGGCCACAAAGACTGAAATTAGCAACACTTCGCCTATGCATGCTTCTAGGGTCCCTGAAATAGGTGTCCCAGACATTGATCCGTACCGTTGTTCAAAATACGATTTGTTCAAGACAATCCTTGTTGGAAACAACCTCCGTTTTGTTCAAGACAATCTTTGTTCAAGTGGCTTAGGATAGCCTTCGTGCAAATCAATTATCGTCCAGAGCTTACTCATATTAATCACCAATCACCACAGAACTGTACAAGATGATACCTTCAGCAGCGACACGGAGCCCTCTCTCTGCTGACGCGCGATTATTATCGACTGTTGTTGTAGATGAAGATCGTCATGCTGGCTCCACCGGGGGCCCTGGGGGGGGGTCATTTAAAGACAGACGTAGGGTTTGGCGGTCCATAGCCGGTGAAACACGGTGGGAGGTGGACACAATTAGACCTTGTCGAAGCCCACACCGAGTGTCATCGCGCCATGGGCAGTGCTGGTGTGCTAGACATTACAGACCAGCACACCTTTATGATGAGTGGTTTAGTTCGTACAATCCCTACCTCTCCTTTTAGTCGTCCATTACCTACGAGTCTGGAGTCCAGTAGGATTCATGTGCTATAGCACGCAATTGTTGCAGACCGATCAAGTGCTGGGTTGTTGTTGTTCTTTTGATCGGCCTTTCCGAACTTGAATACTTCTCTTACTACGTGGGTGACCTGACGAGTCAGCATACAACATAATCAAGCCAGGAACTCCTGAATCCCGTTGTAGATGATACCAATAGGTGAGGGGATGAATCCACTCGAAATAAAGCATCTCGGTTTACATGCGCAAGGATATTAGTGCCATCTGAGGGAAGAAAAGAAGAGGCGAGTGAGGTCTGTTTTTCTCCTCGTGATCAATTGTATTTTTGAAGTTGCACTACGAAATCAATGTTCCTAAAGACAACACAAGGTCTGTCGGTTCACTGCTTAAAATACAAGATCATACTATCGATGACAGCATCTGCGCCATGCTGCCCGTCACGGCCGGTGGCGCCCGCCCACTCGCCCTGGCGCCCCAGATCGGGCACCTCGCTGGGCAGGCCCTCGGTGCCCCCCACATTCCAAGTGCGTCCGTGGGTGGTGTGGAAGGTGAAGCCGTTGCAGAAGCCCTCGCCGTTGCCGGCAAAGACGGTCATGCGGTCGATGTTCTCGTCGTCGGCGAAATCAAACGACTTTGGATAGTAGGGAAGGTTCGGGTCGCGCCCGCCGATGCGTCCGCTCGACGTCCCGTCCTCGAAACCGAACTGGATCGCACCCAGCACGTCGTAGTTCTGGTACTGGGTACTCCACGCGTCGATGTGCCGGACTCTTTGTTCGTTGTGAGTGCCGTCGTAGGCGCTGCCTCCTTGACCGCCGTAGGGGCCATCGCGGGCAAGATCAGCGACGTTCGCCATGATTTTGAAAACAGCACTTGTGCGGGTGATATTGGACCTTTTCGGAATGACTAAGGACGAGGTAGAATGATGTGTATTGTGTCTGCAGGCAGAGGAAGCTGCAGATCTTGCTTCGAAATGCACCGGGCTGGCCTCTTATATAGACAGCCAGGACACTCTATCTTCACCGCCTCGGATACCACATCCGTGTAGGAAGGAAAGGTGGAAGGTGGGTAATGACGCCGTCTACTTCGAGGTGCCCAACAGTGGACATCTTTGCCATGATGCGAGCATCATGCATTCGGAAGCACTTGCCCAAACCAATACTGTGGGTTGCTGCAAACAGATAAGACTAGTCTCTGCTCTTTCGAGGTTTTGTTTCACATGATAACTATAGTTATCATGGCTCTCGAAAGCAGAAACTTTCGTGCAAGGCTTGGCACCATGCATCATATTGGATTGGGGATGGTTCTGCAAACGGGTGTCATATCCTGTTTGGGAACGTTGTTCCATGGGTCTGACACAAATTATGACAGCGGGACATGCAGTGGCCGCATGTAGTAACCAATACTGACCTGACTATCAGGGCAGTCTTAGATCATTCTCGTCGGCCGGCTCAGATTATATCTCATATTAAGTTTTTCATCATATCCGGTCACCTAAAGAGTCAGTTTGTATCGTGATTGCATTCAGCTCTGGTCGAAGAGCGGTTGAAAGGACTCCAACCACGATTGGAGTGAACCTGCTTGCAGCGCCTGGACTGTTCCAGATCAAGAACATAAATTAGTATCGATGCTTGAAGCGACTGATGCACATGCTATGGTTCGGTCAACATGTCAACTTTCAAATTCTAAATATATTTATGAATAAGATCCACAATTGCATTGCCCTTGACTCCAAAACGGAGTTGAGCTCGTTCAGCGGGGCTCAGAGAACTATCCGCGGGCGCCGGAGGGGCAGTCTTGAAATTGACGGAGCCGTCACTGAGCTCCATGAAGGGAGGAGCGCGAGCCTCGGTATTGATCTGAGCGCGGAGAACTATCGCGCCTTTCAGGTGTGTAGCTTGAACCTGACTGTGCATGGATATCGCTCCAAGGCTTCACAAATATTGATGGCATGACTGCCGCAAAAAAGCATCGAGTTTCTTACTGAGAGGTTCCGAGCATGGGCACTTCTCGACCGCCTTGAAAGCCGACTTGGCTTTTGACGGACCTACGGCCTCAGGCTGCTCGCTCACCGCCCATCTCGGTGGCCTTTGTCATCCACCATCCATCTCCCCTGAGTCCTCCTACATCTTGTCCGCTTTCATACCGACCACGGAATCGAGCAGTTACGAGGTCAACTTTACAATATCCAGAGAAAAGGCCAAATGAATAAAAACTCAGTCTCTGATGCTTGGGGACAGTTTGGTGTTTAGAAGGTGTGAACATATTACTAGTATCTTGTCCCGCGGGCCTTGTCTAACTCGACCCGCATGGATGCTTTAGAAATACCTGCTCTAGTCTTCAGAGCCCAGAACCGTCTTAGTTCGCCTCCAAAACTTCATGGGCTCGAGTCTGGCCACAGATTGAATGCCTCCTCTTAGTCTCACTGCCAGTCATCCGAGGGCAATGTGAAGTTATACCTATGGATAATTGTTGCTACCAGAATCTGCTGCTCCATGATGGTGATGTTCATGCCGATACAGGCCCGGCCACCCGGACTAAAGGGCATGAACACGGCCCGCATCTTGGCGAGATTGCTGTTGCCATCGAGCCATCGTAGCGGCATGAACCTTTCCGGCTGGGGAAACAGCGTGGGGTCGCGGTGGGAGGAGGAGAGAGGGTCTAATAACATACAGAGAATGTTGGTTTCAGCCTCCACCTCGCCTGGGTCGAGGCCCCGAGACTGCCCCGACTTATCCCGGATTGAACAGGCAAGAAAGTCATCGGGATTGTCGCCAGCGTCACATCGACGCAGTCGCTCGGCGGTCAGATGACTAACGATAGCCCCAAAATCTGGACCATTCTCCCATAGCTGGCGATAAGATGGGATCAAGAATTTCATCATAGACTTTAAGAAGGGATACCAGTCCGGGGGCCCAACAAAATAGAACGCAACTCGAGCGCCCCCGTGCATGCTGCGTAGGAAGTTGAGCTTTTGATAGCCGGAGCTCTCCTGGTCGGCCACCGTGATAGAATCACATCCCGCTTCGAGCAGATGTAAGTTTCTTGCTTAACGCGATGTCTGCGATCCGTCGATGGTGGTTGGACCAGAGTCGCCAATCAACATTGTAGTCCTTCGCCCCAGCGGATTCGCGGTCGGCAGTGGCGGCGGTGGCAGCGGTGCACCGCTGGTCTAGCTGTGTCAGGAGTTTCTCGACCTTGTCCGTGATTTTAAATTCCCACTGCTCCAGGTTTCGGGTAGGAAAGGCGTTGGAATCATCCGACGCTTCCTGGAGTGCTCATCTCGATCTATCACATTGAGGATATGCGAATGGCAGCCCGCGGTCATCCTATAGGTTTCATGTTTCAGGCAAGGGGTGCCGTGGCGGTTGATATCATTGATTGCCTCCACCGAGCCAAGGGAGATCGTGGACGGGCCCGTGCGTATGATGGGGTGTTTCAGGTGCTGCTGGTAAAGCTTTCTAGTGCGAAACTTATCGCAGCGTTCCCAGACATAGGCGAGATTGGTGAAGGGCGAAAGGACGTTTTGATTTTGGGGAATTTCCGGAGACCTTTCAGGACATACAAGTATAAGACAAGCAGTCAGACCATAGTAAGGGCAAGGCCACTAGCGAGAAGGAATGCGACGATCATGGTTGTTGCCTTGATGTTACGGCGGGGGAGGGGTGAAATATACGTTTTGGCAAGGGATACTACTGTTTCTGCGCAAGAGTTCGCCCTTTCGAAGATGAGAACAACCCGCCTTTATCTCTCTGTCTTCCTGACTATCTCTAGTTTCTGCTGGGAATAGGACATGAGGCAAAATGCCAGCTAGCTCATAGACTGTAGATCGTTGCGCTGGCTGTGGAGAATTCCCCAATACGGCGTACGGCATGGTCAGTCTTATGGACTGTTCGGTCCGTCTCAGCGCCGCCCAACTTCGCCTTCCCCTCACCGCCGATGCCCCCGCTTACACCCCACAGTCCCACCATCCATCCATCCATCCACCCCCTCCACCCCCTCCCGATGGCATTTGACGTATAAATTGTAGCTGTCTTGACAGCTTTTCTTCCGACAATCCGGTCAAGATCAATTACTTCCTCACATTTCCAATTCCACCTACCCTTCCACTTTTATCACACACACAATGGTCGGCACTACTGTTAGCCCCAGCTGGCTTGACCGGCTGGAGGATCAGGGTAGGTTGAGTCTCGCTTGCTGGCAAAAGCGATTGAAATTGATCTGGAAAGCTTATTTTGTTTCTGTTCAGTTAATGTCGATGTCGACTGGATGGATCCTGTCTTCATCCAAAGCCTCCCCATCACTCCTCACGACATGACCAGTAACCAGGTCCATGTTCACGCACAATTGGAGAATCCTATTCATCAAGATCTGATCGCTGAGGTTGCTCGGGAATATAAGGGTCGTGACTGGCTCAGCATCTATACCCGCATTGTAAGTCGATGAGTCGTGTGGCTCGAACTCGACACACTTCTCGGTCTGTTCTCGGCTCTCCTTTCTCTAATTATGTCATCCATCAGTTGGGGGTGACAGGGGCTCCTTATGAAACCAGCTAACCTTTGCTTCGTTGCTCCCATCAGGCTGTCCTACTGTGCAAGAAGTCCATCGATCACATCTCCGGCCGCGTCTTGCTGCAGGTCTCCCCTTCCGAGGCGTACAACGGTGAAAAGGTCCTTGAGCATGCCCGTTTGTATGCCAAGGAGTTCGAGTCGGTGGGCATTTCCAAGCACCGCTTCTGCATCAAGATTCCCAGCACGGGCCCTGCCCTGAGTGTTTGCCCCATCTTGCAAGCGGAGGGCATTCAGACCCTGGGCACCGCTTGTTTCTCGCTCGCCCAAGCCATTGCGGCTAGCCAGGCAGGATGCTTGTTTATCAGCCCGTACTACAATGGTATGACAGCTATTCCCCTGATTCACTTCCCACCCTTCCGTTGCCTTTGCGGCTTTGACTAATTTTATCCCCTGCTCCTTCACCTTCAGAGTTGCGTGCGAACCTTGATCTCAGTCTTTGGCCTAACGTGGAGGATCCCGCCACGCAGCACCCCTTCTCGGCCCGCCTTGTTCACATGCTGGAGACCTATTGTCGCCTGTATAAGGAAACTGGCAAGAGGCAGCCCCTCATCAAGAACGCCAAGTACGATTGTTCCCCTGATGCATAGACGGATTGGAAACAACGGATTAAACTAACACCTATGTGCAGTTTCATCAGCGCCAAAGAGGCCTTCGCTCAGGGTGAGATCGGTGTCGATTCGGCCACTGTCTCCAAGGAAGTCCTAGAAGAACTCGCTAGGCTGCCTTACGATGGCACTTGGCAGCCCGGCGTGGGCGGCGTCCCCAAGCCCCAGTACCCCGAGCACCAGAACACGGTCGCAACGCCCAAGCGTCTCCAGTACCTGGCCAGTATCGACCCTCTCGTCGCCAGCTGGGATGGCAAGCTCGCCAGCACAGACACCGACTACCTGGCGAACAACGGTGTGGCCCTGGAGGATGCCATCAAAGCCGACCCAATTGCCACCGCGCGCCTTGGCGATGCTCTCCAGCTATTCATCAAGGTCGAGAGCCAGAGCAAGGTCCTCATTGAGAAAGCTATTCTGGATGTCTAAACGTCATCTTGTCCCCTCTCATGCTTTAACGGCCAGTTTCTTCCTGGGTATAATTATAATCTGACTGAAATCATCTAGAGCTTCGGCTTCAGTTCATCATCCCAATAATGCTGAGGTTGTATACAATGGCCCTTCCGTGTCAGGGCTCCGGGCTGATAAGTTCAAGTTCGGGAGTTTAAATAGAAAACCGAAATCATAGAGATTGAAGTTAATTTATAAAAGTTATAAGAGTTTGGATGAAGGGATTTGAAGTATTGAAGTTTTAAATAGAAAGATTTTTTTAGAAAGAAGTTTTAAAGAAGTTTTAGGTAAAGAATATCAGAGTAGAAGATATTTAAGCTAGATATCTCTAATCATAAACTAAACATATTATGTAGTCGATACGCTGGGCTATCAAGCCCTCAAGACATGAAGATGCCAAGATAATGTAATGATATAAAGCTGTTCCTGATTTTCTAACTCTCTAAGACCATTATATATTAAGTCCAGATGTATGTCAATATAAATAAAAAAAAAATAGAAAAACAGTCAGCAGATGCTGAGATAGCAAAAGAGCAAAGTACAGAAATAATAGGCTTCAGAAAGGCTGTTGCAATAATACAAATTATCATCGTTAGAATTAGTCATAAGATTTATTTTCATATTTTCTTTTCTGAATATTGAAAAATTCTTAATGAGATTAAAGAAAACGAAATAGAATCCTGCAGTCTTACTATAATTATCTAGTACGGTTGTATCTATGTACTTTTAAAAAGGTAATATAGTTAAATACTTTTTTGGTTATATTGGCAATTCTTCCACTTTTATCTCCGGACTGATTCTTTCTAAAATGGGAACATTGTGCACCCATGATGAGAAGGACACCCTAGTGAACTCATAGCGCCACAATGAATCCAAGCCAAAAAGGCCAAGTCCCCAGTTCAACCAGAGGGAAGTGCATTCAAGAATCGTCTTACTCTCAAACAGATTCCCCAAGGTGATTGATCGCATGTTATGGGTGTTTGTAGGTCGTGTAGCCTGGTTCTGGTAAACCCAGTTAGTGGCCCTTGACCAAGGGTGGGGGAAAAGGCCTGCAACCTACGGAGGCAATCTACACTCCACTGGGCTTTTTTTACTCTATCGTCTAACACGGTGCCTAGGAGAATCAACATTTAATCGAGCATCTCGTGTCATCCGAAATATGTAGGGAGATGAATCTTTCGTCTCTGTGGCCTTATTGTGCAATGTGTTAGATGGTTAAATCGTATAACATAATCGGCTTACGATCCGATGCCTAACAGAAGTAGGATATGTAATGGATAATTCGTACACAAAGCAGCATATCTTGTTCTTCGTCAAGTGGTTATATAATATGTCAAGCCTCGACGAATGATGCCAGATAAAGGTTTATCATCATGCAGCCACAGACGTCCCTGTCTGAGAGCGAACAGAGTCTCGGTCGCACGTATCGGCATAGATATCCAGCCCATCGCCGATGATCTTCAGGAAAAGCCACTGCTCATTGCCTCGAATCAACCGAGCCCAGAGCTTCGCGACAGCAAATCCCAGGTAGACACAGTCCGAGGGAACCGACGGTCGGGCCCACAAGTCCTCGTCTCCGGAGGTTCGTCCCTCTTCGACGATGTCGGTGATCCAGCTTACCAACCGTGTCTCGTGCTCTGTGCGTCTGGCATGTCAGTCCAGAGTTGTTGATGATCTCCCATGACATAACGCGGAAGAATACATACCGTCAAGCGACCGCCTCGTCTGACAATCCGCGATACAGAACAGCCATTTGCTGAGGAAGATGGCGAACTCCAGCCCGCAAAGCGAGTGTTGAATGCTCCAAACGAAGGCATGGCTCTGTGCCACGAAGTTCACGCCCAGCTTGACGGGGATGCTGAGGGCGTGGGTGGCATGCAGGATAGCGGGAAGAAGATGTGGCCCGGCGGGAAGCCGTGGCATTTGTAGCAGCCGGCTGGCTATCTCGTTCGCGTCTCGCGATCGAAGAATTCGGTAGGATCCAATATCGAGGCCGAGGCGAACATACGCAACTCCGAGAAACGCGGTCGAGGTGAAGGTCACGGGCCCGTTGGGGTTGCGGGGATCCAGGCTAGATTCAGGGGCGCGCTGCCATAGAGAGGTCCAGGCGTGAAGGGCGTGTCTAAGAGCATGAGCACGCTTTCGATTAGGGCCAAACGAGAATTGGAAGGAAGACTCGGTTCATGATCTACTCCACTTACCGCATGATCTCCTTCTGCCCATTGATCAAGGATTTGTTCGCGTCGTTGTATGGCCCGAGAGCACGGTATGCGAGGAGGATCTGCTGGATGAGCGCATGCAGCAGGATGTAGTTCGCTTGGGGCGATGGCACCGGATGCGCATTCGGGAATCCCGGCGCCGGCGGGTTCTTCATGATGTGACAGAGGGCATCTTGAAACATCATCTGCTCCCGGAACCCGGGCCTGCTTCGGATACGGTTCCATTTCTCTGAGCTTGGAGCAATCCACTCCAGACAGCTGCATGGCAGGCGAACGCGAATCTCATCGGTCAGGATCACGGAGGGGGTGTTGAAGGCCAGAGACTGCAGGTTCAGGAGGGCAAAAGAGAACAGCTTCATCCTGCGGTCTGTTTCTTCTTGGACCCAGGACCGCCAATCTGTGGCACTAGCATCAGGCCCCTGATCGGCTTGTTCGAGTTGACATTCCCGGATGCATCGTGCCAGAAAGCTTTGGAGGTTGAACGCCTCTCGTGCTAGATCCTCCTTTCCTTGCCAGGTTGCGAAAGCGATCAGTAGAAAGGCGCAGCGTGCGTCGCGCATGGTTTCGCGGTATTGCGCGCTTTTGTGATCTGGGACAGATCCCTGATGTAATGAAGTCGTACTGTTCCCAGACGGCGGAGCTTTCCCATCATTTGTCCTTTGCTTTTCACGCGTCCGTTGCTGCAATATATCCGTAGCCGCCTGAAACAGTAGCACCGCTTTGCGATTCTCATGCCGGAACTCAGCACCCAGGGCGCACATAGCTAAGAGACATTCTGGCTCACACTCATCGATCCTGAATGTTGGGATGTGCACCATGGGGTAATGGGGATAGAACCCATCGAAAAAGCCATTCGCAAACCGTGACAGCGAGTGGCAAGACGGCAGGTCGTTGGCCGCGTGATTGGAATGGGCCCGTGTCAGCGCTCGAAGTAGGCGTTCGCGATGCTGATTTGTCACAGTCAGGATTGGCAACGTCAGAACGCCAAATTCCGCTATCGTTGATGTTTAGCTGCGTCTTAAGCTCGGATAGACATTGAAGGTGTCTTAGGTCTCTTACCGACCGCTTCTCGCTCGGTTGGTAACTTGCTCAGAGCCTGATCAGGACCAACGGGATATGCACCGGATGCTGGTGCAGTATATGAATTTGTGGTGAGGTTGAAGCTGGAATCGCCAGCGAAGATCTGTGTTATGCTGGGCTCAGTTGGGAGATACCATTCGTTATTCAGCCCCATGTTGTTACTGAACATCTCCAGATCTTGCAGGACCAGCAGATCCTGGGAGCTGAAGAGCGGATTTCCTGAATGAAGTCAATCCCGCTCCGGCTGTTTGTCGAGAATCAGCATTAGGAGATGCTACTACACCATACCTTCGAGTTGCACATTGGGATATTGGCTAGTCTGGTTCGGAAAACCTTGAGCGATGTCATGAAGAGCTGCTAGCTCCGGCAAAGATGGCTGGAGATTAGGATGGGAATACTCTACTTGAGACTGGACATTGCTGGTATTGTGAACCTCCGCAGGTGACGGGTCCTCCGTCGATGGAGTAATCGGAGCGTGACCAATACTTTGGTGGCGCTTCAGCAAATCTCGCCGACTGAACGATGCGCCGCAGTCACATTCGTAGGGTTTCTCATGTGTATCTAAGAGTTGCCATTATCTCAGCCTCATAGACACACATTCGCTTTCGCGGGAGTTCTGCACTAACGAATTCGAAGATGTCTTTGGAGATGTTCGTAGCGCCGGAAGGATCGCTCGCAGTAGGAACATATCCGAGGCTTTCGTTTGCCTGCTGATGATGACTCTGGGATTGGTCCTACTGAAGACAACTCCATATGTGATTTTTAAAAAGGTTGGAAGATAATTCTGAGAGTGTGTGCAAGATAGGGAGGGGTTGGAGTTTAGGATGGAGGCGTTGGAGGTGTGGAGGTGGTAGCAGTCACGTGGCCATCGCTACGGATGACGTCAATGGCATGCCCTAATTAGGGACTTATACATCCATACTATCTCTTCCCATGCTTCTGGACACCTTCATTGTTCATGTGTATCATACCTCCATATCATGCCGAGCATAGAATCACAAAAGTTTCTAACTAATACATATAACTGTTTACACCTCAAGACCCGCCTCCATAACAAGCGAGGAATCTTCTGGCCATTAGCACACACTCATATCAAAGCTAGTCAATACCCTTACCTCACGGCGGACATAGAATGGATGTAACGTTAGGCTTGGTTTTTGAATGCTTCGACCTCGACCTCAATCAAAATCTCCGGGAAAGCAAGGCGGGGAACTGAGATAGCAGTCCAAACTGGTCGGTGTCCAGGAATGCGTTTCTTAAGCTTCTCGACCAGATAGTCGTAAGAGGCGCCCATGTCGACGTGGTAAGTCCGGACAAGATAGACATCTTCCCATCCTTTTAACCCAGTGGCCTGAAGTACCTTATCAACGTTCTCAAACGCAAGGTCAATCTGCTTCCGAGTATCGCTAGCATCGAGGTCTCCTGAATTGGTCCAACCACCCTGCCCGGCGCATTTCACAATGTTCCCGGGGAGAATAACCGCTTGGGAGTAGTGACAGAGATCGCTGTGCTTCTGGCCAGCACCATCTTCGTTGACATAGGTGAGGGATGCCATATTTCAATATCGTGGACGACAGGGCAATGAGGGATTGAAGCTGTTTGAGAAGTCTTTGATCCTGGTGGTCCGGCTTCGACAATTTATAATCATTGCTGCTGAAGAGTTGCGTACTAGGCGGCGAGTTATTTGCGTGGAGATGACGTGGGAGCTTTTGGGGGCGTTTCGGCAACATGGAAGCGCTCTTGTTGGAGATATGTACGAAGTAAGACATGAAAACTTGGCAGGTTGTAAAGACTTCGAATCTCAATTCATTACGTGACTCTAGTGGCCACATTTTCTACACGGCTCTTCTCGCTTTCATTGCTGTGGTCGAACTGCACATGTGTAGGGGAGATGATGTGGACTTTTTCCGCCTTCCCTGGCCAGGGAAG